AATAAAACGCATTTTCCGGAAAATTGACAATGTCTCGATGAAAATCAGTGATATTTTGCTTCATCAGCGAAATAGGGGACGCTGAAATTAAGTTGAGATGTAACAGAAACAATTAAAGAGTCCTTAGTCAGTATTAAATGCGACAAACACTCTACAAATTTCATTATAACGCCTTGATGCAACTATTCGATCACCACGGATGTCCGTGTTGCATACTCACGGAATGAAGGCGTTTTGGCTCTCTAGGATGCACCGCTCTACGTCGCAGTCCGGCGCGGCGGACGGGACGCGAGGATCCACCAAGACCGACGGCAACGGCCTTCGATTCTTAGTTTTTATTACGAATATATCTCTCAAGCATAGTTGCCCTGCAAGTCATAAAAAACTTAATCAGTGATTTTAGTATTTCCTCGAGAATGGAAGCTAATTTTCCATATTAAAATTTGTGATGAATTTTGTGTAACCTCAATCAAAGGGGTGGAACCTAGGGGAGTATAATTGAGGGGCTTGGAGAACACGGCGCATAAAAGCGGTTTTTGTTATTAAGAGAATTACGTGTTTGAGGTTCCGAAATTACATGATGGATCTTTATGGCGGAAAGAAAGTTTAAACTGACTTTGATGCTTAAAAATTGGAAATTGGGAGCGCATTTTTCACAGAATATGCATTACGAATAGTTTTACTTGATATCATTGCGATTACTCAATTTTCGAAAACTGCATTTATGCGTCTTGTCTTCCAAGCTCTTTAACTGCAGTACGGCGTTGTAAAATTTTACTTCACTTTTATAAAAATGTTAATGGAGGAATGGAAGGTAAATTCATTATGAAATTTTGTGATGAATTTTCTGAATTATTTCCCTGGCCATTTATCTCTAACAGCATATTCGATCCCTATATTCATTTCGATTTTAAACATACTTAAATTCGTAAATTATTTAAAAAATAAGTTTCCATGTGAAACTTATTAATACTGCAATGAAGTATACAATTACTCTCCCTTGGCTCTCGCCTCTTCATATACTAAGGGCGATCTTCTTCCTCCTTGACGTCTTAGTGATGTCTGCGGAGTAAAATATGTCGTTTTTTCAAGAGATACTTACGTAAGTGAAAAAAAGCTTCCAATAGAATTTAAATCAATATTGGGTTTTTCAAATTTGTTTCAAAAGGTACGGAATTATCAAAAATATGTGCTGAGTATGACTTACAGAGTACCTATTCGTGCTTAAGAGATATATTTGTAATAAAAACTAAGAATTGAAAGCGCTCTGTCTTATTGGATCCTCGTATTACAGCCCGCTGCCGCGCGCCGCGCCACACCGCGAAGTAAAGCGATGCGTCCTGGAGATCCAAAACGCCTTCAACTCCGTGCGTATGCAACACGGACATCCGTGGAGTTCGAATAGTTGTATCTAGGCGTTGTAGGGGAATTCGTATACTGTTCGTTGCAGGTGGGTAATACTGACTGACGACGCTTAGCTTTGTTTCTTTTACATCTCAACTTAATTGAAGCATCCCCTATTGTGCGTAAGAATTACACTATCATTAATTTTTATGGCGACATTGTTAATTTTCCGAAAGATGCATTGAATGTGAAAATGTGTTACCTACAGGCTGCAACGTTGCCAGTCCTCGAAATCGCTAAAAATGTAGGTATCCTAGCAAGATTTGAAGCGTTTCCTTTAACGTACATGAATTACTTGTCTTTTGCTTGGATTTTCCTCCTTTTAGAAAAATAATTTTGACGTTTAAATGTGAAATGTTCAAAGAACAATCCTGGAAGCTGCTCTAGAGTTCCTCGCATAAAGCCCTAATCTAAGCGATACCAAAAATATCATGATATAAAAATCATGAATATATATATATGTTCCCTCCTAAGTTTTCCTGTAATTAGGGATTTACACATTTGGAACGAGTCTCTACACTCATCTTTTGCCCTGCGCTGCCGTACTAAGGAAGAACGCCGTATGAACCTTCAGACGTTGCCAAGTTTCCTCCGATAAAAACGGAAATTACTGGGAAAATTGTGAATGTTATTTTCTCAAATTTTCAGACAATATTGGACACGAATTAATCTAATATATCTGAAACTTTCAAAGAAAAACGTGAATGAATTTTGCCAAAAATACAGGTTTTATGCGGAAAAATTTGGCAACTCCCGAATGTTCATTCGGCGTTTTTCCATAGCACAGTAGTGTGGGACATGCATTTTTCACTTTTGGGGTTTGCGCGTTTGGAGATTCTTGTTTTTGGGCACCATGCATTTTATACCACCGCAGTAAACTTTACACATTTAGCGGAATGAGTGAGCTATATGGCTCATTTTTTTCGTATGGTGTTTTTGCTAACTAGTTCAGGCAAAATGACTAAAACTTCTATTTTTTTTTCTAAATTTCATTCAACTTTCTTTCTTGTGCCACATTTTAAACATAAGGGGAAGCGCTTCCCTTGCTTACATGGACGCCACGCCACTGCAAAACACCGTCGTAAAGTTTACTTTTTGCAAAGAATGTACCTAAGTTGCACAATCCTAGCAACATTGAAATGCTCTTTGTTCCTTTTTGCAAAATGCAATCCAATTGGTTGTTGCTGCAGAAAAATAGTTTCCCACAACCTACTATCCAATGCTCCAGTGACCACATAAGTTGGCCCGAGCACAAACTTTTCGCGAGGAAAGCCTTTCCCCTTCCTGGTTTTTCACTTAATAGCCGCCCGAGTTTCGTATATCTTCCGTTTCTCCTCATAGCAGCTTCCATCAAATCGCAATTGCCCGGAAACTAGGACCGCACGTCTTATCTGATAAAATCGTTCACCCTGTAGACCGATTCTGGGGAATTAGGCTAGACTAGTCGATGAGTCGACTGTTGGTCTAATTTCATTACGTGAATGCAGAAGAAAAACGGGGTAAAAGAAAACACTAATGCATGAGCAATTTTTAAGGACAATTTTTTAATTTCTCCTACGATTTTAAATACATCAAAACGCGTAATATCCAAAATCTAAGCTCAGATTCGGATTCCTCGTGAAAAATGAATGCGATTTCATGCATCATATGATAGAATAGCGTGAAGGAAAGAGGATTAATGACGTAAAAAAACACTAAAATGTGATCAATTTTCAAGGACAATTGTGTAATTTCTCCTACGATTTTAAATAGATTAAAACGCGTAATATCCAAAATCTGAGCTCAGATTCGGATTTCTCGTGAAAAATTGATGAGATTTCATGTATCATATGTTAGAATAGCGCGAAGGAAAAAGGTTTAATGACGCGTATAGATTCTGTCGTACTACCCGTTTGAAGTACGCCGCCGCCGCCGGTCGCCCGAGTGAAGCCGAACGGGGAGGCGCCACTTAGCGCCGGCTAAGCGCTTCTTCCTCCTCCGCTGACCCACTGAGCACTACCCATGTTGCCACGTTGGATTCATATGCTCGAATCATTATGCCTGCGTCACGTCTCTTTCCCTCACGCTATGCTCGGGTATGATACATGGAATCGCATCGAGTTTCAACGAGGAATCCGAATCTGAGCTTCGATTTTGGATATCACGCGTTTTGAGTCGCATTTTCCAAATTCGAAAATCCGAAATGACGGACGTGGCTTAAAATGCTATCTCGACTCCTGTTCGGTGGATTTTTCTGAAATTCGGTGTCAGGGTATAATACATGAAATCGCATCGATTTTTTACGAGGAATCCGAATCTGAGCTTCGCTTTTGAGGATTACGCGTTTTAAATCAAAATCTGTCACAATTCAAAAAATTCAAAATTCGAAAATCCGAAATGACCGCGAAGTGGCTTAAAATGTTATCTTGGCTCCTGTTCGATGGATTTTGCTGAGACTAGGTGTCAGGAGGTATTTTTCGACGGGAAACTCGAATTTTTAGCCAATTTTTTAAAATTCTCAAATCCAAGATGGCGGACGTGGGCTAAAATGCTATGTCGGCTCCTGTTCGATGAATTTTCCTGACTCTCGGTGTCTGAGGATATTTTTTGACCGGAAACTCAAATTTTTAGTCAATTTTTAAAAATGCTCAAATCCAAGATGGCGGACGTGGCCTAATATGCTATCTCGGTTTCTCTTCGTCCGAGTTCGGTGTATGTGTTATATAATAAAAGAATCGCTAATTTCATTTTAAATTCCTTTTTTTCACAAGGAGTTGGAATTAGCTCTCTCCTGACCCAAACAAAGTGACCATTAAATTTTGGGGAATTTATTTTTTTTCTACCTTCTCATTTTGGAACTAATTTTGTGATGGTGCTTAGAGCAACTCCTTGTGCCCCTCCCCTCAAACTTTCGGCCCTGCCTGTAAAAGGTCTCTTTTCTGATCCATAGATGGTCTCAAAACATCTTTTCAAGGGCACCCACATAATATGTATCTACTCTAATTGATACCCAAACACAATCCTGCCTTCATTTCCCATCCATCATTTTTTGCCTCCTTATTCTGTCCATCAATTTTTGAAAAATTGAAAGTTTTTGCCAAACCAAGCTACATCCAAGCTACAGGTGACATTTTACTGTTGTGAAGTCCCTTACTTTATGATCTGATGAGATGAGTACCTATGATTTTAGCTACTTTTACTCTAGAGGGGGTGCTTTGGTACATGAGGTACCAGTCAACTTTCCTCTCTCTTTTATAAGTCTATTTACGTAAGAATCAAATGACTGCAGGAAATGTCATCGGAACAAAAGATTTTGAATTGCAGCACTTAAGCAAGTATACTGTCAATCTTATTCAGAGGTTGAATTGTATCTACTCTCTAGTACAAATCTACAATACTTTGAAACTTGACCTTCTGCCTGACTGGAGTATCTAAAATAGAGTCTGAGACTCAGACAACAAATCGTCGCTTGGCTGACACAAGGGCATAACTACAAGTAAGGATGAGCCAGGGAAATCATTGAGTAGTATGGACAACAAGGGTCATCGCCGATTGTAGTTGCGCCCTCATGTCAGGAAGGCAACGAAATGGGATAGTGAAGGTGGCAAAACACACACTTACTCTTTTTCTTTTTTATTTAAATAAATGAGGCATAAACAGTTAATAATATACTTGAGTCAGGGTATTTACTTAATATACTTTAAAAATAAGGAAAAATTGCGTATGTACATACGTAGTTTTAAGAGCAATAGGTAAAGATGATATTAATCATAAACAACCATACATTTTTTGTGGAGGGAAACAATCTCATAGACAAATTATAATTAAAAAAAACAGTTGCAGAAACTAAATATGAAAAAAATAAAGTTAACAGAAGCCATTAATACGTAACATAATCAATCTTATGGTTAATATTAAATTAAAGTATTATTAATTAAGATTATGAGAAACAATTCTTATACAACTCAGGGTGAATTATATCACAGATGATAATGATGTTGAAAAATATGTTAGGTACACACATACGCTACAGACGGACTGTTAGGTCAATCTGAGACAATAATCCTTGTAAAAATAAAAATAAAAGCATCAGTCTCAATGATAAGTGTTCCCTTCCTGTGACCTTTTGAAAAAACGGAAATGTTTGAAAAATGCAAAGTTTACATTAAATCCTTCTCTGTTGGTTTGTACTTAACATTTGATTTCATTTGTTTTCATTCTCTCTTTCAAATTTTCCTTTCACAAAATTGAACTCTCTTTTACAGAGTCAGTCATATATTAATTGAGATTAGAAAAAAAAATAAAAAAAAAAAAAAAAAAAAAAAAAAAAAAAAAAATTGAAAATCAAAGAGAGCTTGTATGAGGGAACATATTTTTAACATTCATAAATGTATTTGGTTCATGGGTAAATGGAAGATTTCTTACATTTCTTGAGCAACTCGGAAAAAATCTATCATCAAATGTCAAAACACTGGGTTAACTTAAGAATAAACCTTATAGACTAATTCTCGCAATCATGGCTTAAGAGAAATTAAACTTAATTCTAATTTTGGCTAGACCGGCAAAAGAAAAGACAATCAGTATTTGCACTTCGCCCAACGGATTTTCAGCGAGATATTTTGTGAACATGTATACTAAAAATAAGCAGGGCAAATTTCAACACCCATGGAAAAATTAATCAAAGAGATGACTTTAATGCAGGCTCTTTCTGTAAAATTTAGACCCGCCCATAAAACGTCATCCTTGCAGATTCTGACAAGGCTACATCTGGTTTGGTATTATATGCCAATACTACAAGCATACGAGTTATATCGCCTTTGGTTGGTGTAACCCGATGCAATGAATTTTGGCCGCGGAATAGTACTAGATCTCCTGCTTCAATGGCAAGTGAACTGACTGAGTGACGATTTTCTAACACTGCCGCAACACCATTGTAGTTCATATCATCAGCATTCGCATTGCGTAAGTCTCTGACATACTGGAACAGACCGCCAGCGCGCGGTTTTTGTACCAGAAGGGTGACTGCAAAAGAAGAATTATCAAAGTGCCAACCCAATTCCTGACCATCTGCCGCATAATGGAGATTGATTGATGAGAGAGGATCAGCGTATGGGTACAGTTTTTTCTCACCCAGCACATCACAAAGGAAGCTTTTAAAAAGAGTATCATTATAGAGCTGACGGAGAGGTGAACTAATGGGAATTATATCATCAGTGATACAGCTTTTGGTGCTCAGTACCTCACGATTTCTTGGGTGGTCAGCACTATATGTCTCATCAGGTTTCATTAAATACACATTATGATTGTTTACAGTTCGATAAGCTAAATGGGATAGGGTATTTCCCTCATCAATGATAGTTTGAAGTACTTCTGGTTTTAAAAATTGGCGCAATACCAGCACTCCATGGAGGTTGAGTTGTTCTCGGCAATCTTTTCGCCAGTCAGCATCAGCCAGCGGATGCAGATCTGCACGAATCAAATCAGTCATTTTTACCGGAGGGAATATTTATCCTTGTCAATGGTGGGCACCTCGTCCTAAATAAGGATGTGCTGACGTTCTCAAGATTCACTATAATCACACATCTAATTTTGATCCGTGTGTTCCTAATACATTCTATGCTGATTGTCAATTATACTTACATATTTCATTTGAAAAAAGTGGTACAGGATATCAAGGGGTATGTAATCAACACTGGTCAGAAATCAGGGAGCTCAGATAAAAAAGCTATACACCAAATTTATCAAAGGTCGTTGTTCTGAATAAACCGATTCCCCTCAGAGTGAGCACCGGCATACCTGTACACACATTTCCCGTAAACACCTGTGAACATAAATAAAGTGACAATTAGATAATGCAAAAGATAAACAGAGAGCTGCTGGGCAATTTTTTCTTGGGATTTACAAAAAATCACTCATGAGAGAAGTTGGGGTTTGCAAAGTTTCAAAGCTAAGCATTTCACTTGCAGTTCTGATTAGAAGGTGACAGGGGAAGGTCTTCGACAAAATTGCCCTGCTTTTACAGTGAGTGAACTTTTGAATTTGAGCTTGACAGGATAAGAAAGCTGACTGTTAAAAAATAAAATTAGGTTTAAATGTAGTAGTGGGTACATGAAAATATCTTTGAGATCACCACAGAGCATGGGAAATGCACGTCCTCCAGGTTGAGGATCCGGTCGTCCTTTTTTATTGCTTAGTGTTTTTTTAGTGCATGATAGGAATAAAAGTAAATAAAATTTTCCCTTCTCATTCAGAGGGTCATTGAAAAAAATACAATGATAAAAGTACATAATTTAAAGCATAAAATCATTGAAAACCCCGTAAATGAAGGAGCAAGAAGGCTAGCACCTTTATCGATCCAGAAAATTGTGGGTAAATATTTGATGAGAGATTCCAATTGATGAGCGGTCTCAATTCGATACATAATTTTCTTTCTCACTTTGAGTAAATATTTTGAGATAAGTTCCTCCCATATTTTTCGTAAGTAAGATGACGAGGCAACGAACTACGTACATTTTTTTCCCCTTGCCTCCTGGCATAGTATCTACTGGTCATACCGCACACTACGATACCAAAATCGCTCATGCAGACACCTGAATCTTTTTTTAAGAAGTAGGTAATTAAGATGATTCATCCTCGGTTCTTGGCTTGGTTGAACTGGCATGTGATATACCTCATTGATTCAATGAAAAATCTCAGTAGATTTTGACTTCTAAGTCAACAAAAGGAAGATGGCCCCTGCACAAGAGTTAAATAATCACTATGAGTGTAAAAAATTGCAACTTTTTGAGAAATAAAAACAAGATTTGGCTACGAAGCAAACACTGCATTTAATACTGAGATTGATTACTGCACAGAGTGCAAAGTTTTTTCAGAGAACCAAATCTTATTTTCGTTTCTCCAAAATTTGCAATTTTTGTTATTTAAGTATAATGATTTCTTAGACTCATGCCCAAGGGTTATTGCCCTTTTTTCGGCTAATAAGCCCAAAATCTGCAAACATTTTTTACTTGATTGATGCCATTTATCACATGCCGGTTCAATCTTGCATTGAACCTGGGACAAATCACCTTAATTCCTCCCATTTTGACATCATCTTCTGCAGCAATTAAATTTGTGCCTTTTACACTTTCTGGACCATTCTCTGTTCTGACAAAACGCAGAAATTGCCAGGCTCATCAAATATTTAGGTTACCAAATATTGTGAGGCGAAAGTGGAAGAATTATTTTTTTCTGCGATTGCATGTTAAATGCATATCATATAATCTTCATGCAGTGCAATCCAAAATAGTTGGTAAGAAAAAGTTAAGAATAATATGAAAGATGAGGTAAAGGTAAGGAAAGGGGTAGAAAAGGTCTTGATGATAAGCTACAACTGTAACTGATGGTATGTGTTGATAGGATTGTCATTCAAATCTTTCCGACAATTCCCTACCTGCCAATTTACAGTGTGGCAACTTTAGGCGAGTCTTCATCAGGAGTAAGCGGACAATGAGGTAATTAACACATTTTGCTAAAATACTGGTTTTACTTTAAAGTTTAGACAAAAAATGAATCTTTCATGCCTAGATACACAAATCAGCTATTTCCCTCCTAAGAATTTATTTTGTATTCCTTAAAAAAAAAGCTGATAGTTTGCACATGCAAAATTAGGCGTTCAGGTTGACTGATTAAATGCGATATTATGCATTTAAAAGCTTGCAGCTTTATCTGAAGATTTACAGAATAGATTCTGTCAGAAAAAACAGCTGATACGTGCCTCTAGGCTCAGTTCTTGTCAAAAATTAGAAGCAAGACCAGTATCTACTTTAGAATTGGTTCAGTACCTCGATGTTTGTTTGCTTCCAGAGTAGATTCAGCACAACTGATTTGGTAATTAAAAGAAAAATAAAAGAGCCCAAAGCAGCTCTTTTTGTTCTTTTTAAGTCTCTTAATGTAAGTGAATACCTATTATTTGAGGGGTTCAAAATATTATAGATCATCTAGATAATCTCCAATTTTAATATCATCTACTTATGAAGTAATGCCTGCTCCTAAGAGGAAGTATCAAATATTTATTTCTTTGACGATGATGAAATTGTCATCACTTTCAATTTACAATGTTAATGGTACTTTCACCGAGATATATATGAATGATACCACCAAATTAAGGATCATGAGTAACCTTGAAAAAAGGATGCACTAAAGAAGATGGCAGCAAGCCATAAGTTTTAATTTTCATCCACAGTCAGTTACCAAATTGGTTAGAATTAAAATTTACTGTTTCTAATCTTGTTACCTTATAAAAAGGGGAACAGGCAATTACAGCCTCATACATGTATGTGTGAATCATATCTAGAATAGGAGACTCAGCTAAGTCTGAGCAATAAATGATTTGGCCATATTTAAATGGATGATGCAATAGTGCACAGTATTTGATAAAACAAAACAATAGGTTTTGCTTGGAAACTGGATAATATACTGGATAATATACCGTTGGCTGATTTTTCAAAAACGTTCTCTCTTCTTATTTTAATAAAAAGTAGAATCATAGAATGGAATCATAGATAACTATGTAGCTATGCCATGGGAAAACGCCGTGTGAACGCTGAAACGCTGTATCAATGTTGTTGAATTTCCTATGAAAAAACTTATTTTTGCGGAAAGTTGTGATATACTTTCTCATGAAATTCATAGATGCTCAGATCTGATTGCAAATAAAATTCTCCGGAAAGTTTGAGGTAAAATATTCACAGATCTCCCTGAAAATTTGTATTTTATCGAGTAAATTTGGCAAAGTCAGGGGGCTTATACGGCGTTCTTCCTTAGCACAGAAATATGGTGCAAAGGTACTGCATTTCACTTTTTACATTGCATTTCACGAGGAAATTGAACACTATAACTTAAAAGATTGTAGACAGCTTTGATTTAGATCAATCTCAACAAAATACCTGGCAAAATTTTCATACAGACACCTATGAACTATTTTCCTATTGACACTCTGCCCACTATTTTGAATCCACTTTAATTGAGTTCAAAATTTTTGAATACATACTTAAAAAGACCTAACCATTTATCAATGCATGCTTCTCTCAGAAAAAGATAAAAGAGTAGAAAATGAAAAAAACATAGTGAAAAGAAGGAGTTTTACAACAGAAACTTTACTCATAACCAAAGGTCAGGAACACAAAAACATCGTAGATAAACAGGAATTTAACATTTAAGATATAGACTACTTTCTAATGCCTTTGGAAAAATCTTTGGTTTTGTTATTAAGTACGTAGGAAAGAAAGCTAAGAAATAAATTAGGAGTGAACGATATTCTCTCTCTATGTTTCACTCAAAACTAAACAAAATTACAAAGTCTCAGGGGTAAAATTGCGTCGCATTTTATCATTTCTCACGGGCTTGCACATAAATTATTTAGTTCATTATAAAAAGTTCCAATACTCCATAGAAGGGTACTTTTAAGGGCTGAAATGTTTAGATAATTTATATTTTAAGAAAAGGGTTAAATTTTTTTATATAAGCTCAGCCTCTTCCTAAAACATGCATGCGCAGGGTCTTCAACTGCACGCTCGATGGTGCTTATAATATACGATAAATTTATCAAGCTCAGTAAAGATAGAATCAAAATAACCTTGGTGATCTTCTGCTTCTCTTCTTCCAGAGGGTAGCGGAGTGTAGAGTATACCGTCTGTTGTCACTTCTTCCACGTATTTTTGATCCTAGAAATCATAACATGAATTCACGATCAACTTTGGGGCTACGTACAAACGAGAAAATTGTAATACATACCTACAATATAAGTAATTCCGATCAAGGGGAAGGATAATAAATTCCACTGGAGATAAGACTGAGCTAAGTTTTTATACACAAACTTAGGGTAGGGAGAAGGGAAAATTCAAGTTGGAGCTATCAACAAGACTATATTCTGACCTGGAATATAGCTTTTGAAGACAGAGGTGATGAATCCCCCCTGCTGACCATCCTCTTTCGAAATGAAGTACTATGTACTGTTGAAGTGCTCGTCTTTTGATAAAGTTATCATTTTCAGCTATCCTCTCCCAGCTAGACATGGAGAAACATAAGCAGGTAGGTAAACTTAAAGCAGCTGATAAGCTTAAAAAAAATAAATAACTAAAATCGCTTGCAAAACATTATCTATTGGCCAGATTAGGAGTATCGAAAAACTCAGCTCTCAAGATAAGTACGCTAAAACTTGTTGTAAGTATAATGTGAATTAAGAGATTATTTTAATTGAAAGATTAGGATTATAGCAAATTTTTGCAAGAGCAGAAAGGAAAGTGCTTTTCTTCATCGCATTGATAAAAAGAAAAAACAAGGTGATCGCATCGATAAAGTAAAAAGGTAATTCCATATTCTATAATTTGAGAAGAAAAATTGGAGCCTCTCAGTTCCAAAAATATGCAAAAACAAAGATGTAATCGGATACGGATGAGTGAGTTTGGAGTAGTAACCATAATGTGAAAACTATGATTATTGATGTAGTCCCGCGAATAAAAACGAACTCTCATTTTTATCACACCTGGGTGCATTTCTTCTTTGCAGCTTACTTCTATTGCATGAGAGGAAATATCTTCTTTTGTTTTGATTGAAGAACTGTTTTACATGATGATAGTGCTTACTTTGAGGTTTCATATGAAAATGAGAAATTGAGAAGACACATTCTGATTAAATTATGTATTTGCCTTTGTATTCTTTTTTACGTGGGAAGCTCAAAAAGAGCGAATTTATGATATTAACTGTAAGTAGGTAGAGGATGAATAGATTGAAGACTTAGTCGATTCAAAGCACTTTTCTTTCTATTCATTTGATTGGGCATCTTCCTGATATTTAGAAAATTTAGGCACAGGAAAATTTGTTGGATAAAAATCAGCAATATCCCAAATACAATACTGGCTGATCACGGATAAACTTTTATACTCAAACCCTACCATACCATTTTTATTTCTATATAAATAGGTAACTTATTTTGAATAGTACTTACAAGGGGTCTGACAACTTTCATGAACTGTCCCCTTTGCGCTGCCTCTTGTCTTTCTTGCTGACTCACAGGTCGGGAGTCGAGAAACTGGAGTTGAGGTAAGTGATGAAGCACATAATATCTAAAAAAAAAATGGTGAGAAACCACAAAGTTTGAGAACAGAGCGATAAGCCAAAGAGGAAAACAGCTTTTTTGATTCTAGTAAGGATGATTCTATGTGAAGTCAAAGCCAAGTAACATTAATCAGCATGTTAAATGATTTTATTACTTCGATCATCATTGCAACTCACTGGTCTGTCAAATTATTTTCTGTTTTAAAATTTTCAACTTCATTTCGTGTTTCATGTTGTAATTAATGGTGTACGTACTTTTAAGCTCTGATGATGGCTGACAAGGTGAAAACATTTCACACAATCAAAATTATACATTCACATTGCTTTGGTTTACTTTTTGTTTCCCACACATTATTTTTCAATTTTACTTGATCGGTGGTCTCCACATTTATGTGCCTTTTTTAAGACAATTTTTGCCAATGCTTTGAAATGCATTCATGATGATTGGCATTTGAACAAGATTAATAGTTTACAGTTGCAATTAGTATGCACATTGTTCAAACTTCTGATGTCCATGTGTGACATTATGCATAATGATGCAAGAAATTGCACCTTCTGATGTCAGGTTAATTAAAACTTCAAATTGCTCCTTTGTCATATTTTATGTTTACATCAGCACAAACGAAATAAAACCAAACAGAGTGTTCAGCCTTTTCAGGTTTTCCCAGACCCTCAGTTTTTTGCCTCCAGGACTTTTCCTGATTCTCTCTGACCTTTTTTTCTAAATCATTAAAAATGCAAAAATAAACATATCAGATCAGTATACAGATCAGTGCAGGCTAGAATTTCCAAGGAAAAAATTCACCACAGGAAGGGAGAGAGTGCTGCAAAACGTGATATGAAAGCGCTGTGGGTTTATGCAAAAAATCAAGTTCATGGAAGTGAGTTCGCAACTACTGGTTTTCCCGGTCGCTGAAAAAGAGGAGAAACCTGGAAAAAAAAATTAAGATTCTTTTTGTTTCAATCACTAACCTATATCGCTGATAGTCTACCTCATCCTTTTCAATACTGGATAGCTGGTTTGGGCAAGCAACATTTCCCAAAAGGCTCAAATACCTCAAATTCGGCAAATTAAGTTCAACTTTCCGCAGGAATGATTCTAGGTCTGTAATCTGCTCACAAACACACACAAAATAGAATTAAAGAAGGTCAAGAAACAAAAATACATTTGTAAACAGTGGATAAAACACTAGAGAAGAACTTTCTTCCATTACTGTGTAAAATTATAACATGATTGTGTTGAATAACGGTGGATTTTAGAAATCCAGACAAATGTTGAGGGGACCGTTTTTCACATTAAAACTTGAAGATAGTCAAATTTCCATTACAAAGGCAATATTTCAAACGAAAATTTCAGAAAGATTAGCGTTGCTTTGCTTCTTATCATCCTCAGTTCTGAAATTCAACAGAGCCCTGATCCTTTGAAAAGATCTGCTTAGAACAGTGTGATCCTACAGTCCCACGCTGCCGGAATAAGTTTTCCATCAATTGAGTTATCAAGTGCATGTTATGAAGTGTGTTGAAGCAGTCATTCCGAATCAGTGATTGAGACCTGAACTTTGCACCAGAAAATTTATATTTATACCCTTTTCAATAATGTATCTCTAGGTAAGTAAGTACACACATCTAGGTACACCTCTAAAGTTTCAAATTGATAGTTCACTTGGTAAAAGATTTATTGGGAAGGTGCCGGACTTTTGGGTCACTGATGATATATTTAACAAGATTGGTAAAATATTTTTTTAAAGATAAAAGGGCACTCGAGTGTGGAAAAGCGCTTAAGCGCGCTTCTTGGTAAGTCTAAAAATATAATCTGTGATTAAAATTTGATACTATGATTAAAGTTAAAAATTTGCTGTATAAACCTCCTGACAAGTAATACAGAGACTATTTAAATTTTATGTAAATTCTGAGCTGGAATATCCAATTTCTTGCGACGGCGCCTTTCCAATCCTTGCTTTCAAGGGCTCACATCAAAATGGAGATACGTACATCTGATGTGGAACGGCAAATGATGAAATTTTCTCTCTTTATCTATCCCCCTATCTCTTAATCTAAGTAATGAAATACTTTGTAATGATTAACTATTTTGTATTGAATAATGGTGTGATAATCTAATGTCCACCCTAAAAAGCATTTCTACAAAATGTTCTAAAAGTGGGTAGATATTATACAAACTGAAATATAGTGAAGAAAGACTGTACTTACATTGTTTTTGTTGAGAGATAGTGTATGGAGGAAGTTCATGTAGGGGAAAGTGATGCTATCACCAAGCTGATTATTATCAAGGATGAGTTCAGTCAAATGAGGAAAATGCTCAAGTTGGCTCAGAGAAGTCAGACAATTGTAGCTGAGATCCAACTCGTGAACTCTGGACCCATAAAGTTTTGATAAAACAGATGGAATCTTGTGGACATCTTGACCAACATAACTCAGCTAAAATGGATTCAAACAAAAATGTCAAAGGTCATTTGAGATACTGCGCCTTTGGGCAGAGAAAAATTCAGATAGAGAAGGCAACTTTCAGTTAGTAAGTGGATAAATGCAAAATTAGTTTTGATGAAGGAGGCTATGGATTGTTAGGCAGGCTTATTTTTTGTCTTGATATTTCCTGCTCCCTCTACCTCCTTTTTTGAATCGAAATATAATTTGTTGGAGAGTAAGTAATGATTACCTGGAATCGAGGAGATTTCACGTACAAAAAAGTTGGAAAAGGTTTCAAGTCAAAAACTATTCTAATTTCCAATAACATGTAATGCCAACTTGAAGGTCAATTCATAAAAGAGTGCAAAAAACAAGTTCTTTATTCTGAAGAGCTAAGAATCCATTATTGTAAGAATTCTTGATTTCTGCTTAAGGCAACATAATTTAAGAACCAAGGGAGATAAAATTTTTGATGAAAATTAAAAGCTTGTTGATCAAATGTTGATACTTTAAGTCAACCTTAAAATATTAGGGCAAAAAAAAATGTATCAATTTTTTGGTGTCATGCCTTACTTAAATGCTTTTTCAGATATACCTAGGTTCAAATTTGTAGATTCAGTTCATTTTGAATATTCTACATAATAATTACAGTTTTCAGCGCGATCAAGAAAAATGTACTTATGAAACAAAAATTCACATATTAAAGGCTGGGTCTCATTGTAATTATTAGATTTAATTTTTCACCTGAGTCCACTAGACCATCAATGATGAAAATTGATGAAGTCAAGATTTTCACCCCAGATATTTATGGTAAATTTACTCAAGCTCAATAGCTTGCTGAACTTCCCTGCTCCATTAGCTTCAAATTTTTGAGTACGCTCACTGAAATTGTACCTACCTAAACCTAATCATAAATGCCCTTGAGAATGAAGGAATAATTCCCAGGAGAAAAGTGAGGAAAATTTATTATTCCAAGGCGGATAAAGAATGGTGGTTGCATTTCGTACCCTCTTGACGTTACACGGCATCGGGTACGTTTCGAGTACATCCTGATTGCATGGCAAAGCATGTACCCCCCACTCGTCACAGCCTTTTAAATGGCGGCTCAACTTGAAATGCGACCACCTTTCTTTATCCCCTTTGGTATTATTCAGCTCATTAGCTTAAACTCGTTCAACTACAAATTAAGTTTAATGATAAACCGTATGAAATATAGAAAGAGGGGGAAATACTAATTAGCAATAAGCTATACTAAACTTCGATACTTAGAAGATACTGGGAACTAACACAAAATGATGGAGATATTGAAAAATGAGTACCTTCGCATTTGTGCCTGATTTACTGTGAATGTGGACAGTAAAACAGATATGGGAAGATGATGTACCAGGTTTACAAACAGCAGGTTTTAAAGTCTGTTTTGGAATGCCAAGCTTGTTGATAATTTCAAGTTCTAGCGCATAACGAAAGGTACAAGAAAAGGTCTCCGTAACGGGCATGACTGAGAAATTTACATTATAATTTCATCTACCGAATTGAAGTAAAGACATTTTAACCATTAGATCCAATTTAAGGATCTGGAAAACTGGCCACAATGACTTAATAGTTCAAGGCTAGGAAAACACTGCTTTTTAACGAAGCAGTCAATTGGTACTTCTTGAAATTCAGAGACACTTCTTGTTCAAATTGAAATTTAATGCGGCAACATCACAAGACTCAAGCAAAGAAAAATAGATTTATGGGAACTGAATAAAAGACAGATGTGAGGTATCAGTAACGCAACTAAGTGAGAAAACCTCAATCTAAAAGTCTCCAATTAAGCACTACAATGGGAAAAGGGGGAAGCCTCTCAAGTCAATCAAATCGTTGCTTTGAAATAACCAAAAACAAACATGGAAGCTTTAAATCTAACTGACAGCTGAAGCAGTCATCCAGAGGAGAGAATCCTTGCAAGTTAATTGGATTAAGCCACTGCCTTCAATAGCGAGTGGTTATCAGGGCCGCAGCTCCTTTGAAGACATTTGGCTAAGCGGACGTTTGCCTCTTTTGTCGACAATGTAAACTTGTAAAATTAAAACTCTACTGTAAAAGTTTAGGATAGAAGAGAACTGGGAATATTGAGAAAATTGTAAATACATGAATGAGCAAAAAGAAAACTTTGGAAGCAGATCTCAACTTACCCTATTCTTATTGTAATTGACAACACCGGAGGAGAAAAATTCAGGGCTAATATCATTGTCATAACTCATCTTGAATCTATATCAAACACTGCAGATTTTCATAGAATATGGAATGATACAACTGCTCACAGATTTTAACTCGATGAAAGTCCAAAATCAATTACTTATTCCATTTTTCTTGCTGAGAATGATTACATAACAATTACCTAACCTCACAAACCATGCCGAAGCCAAAATAAACAAAACAAAGATTACAGAATTAGAGTTTTTTCCTGTTTATTCCTCATTTTAAATGACAGGAATTTTACGGCAAATTCCGAACCAGGCATTTTGATTGGTCAAAACCGGTTCATTCCATAAATTCCCAATTCAGTTCCAAACGGCGGGAATTTCAAAATACAACGGATATCCGTTTCATCCAAACGTTTCCGGTTCCGGAAAATTCCGAATTACAACGGATATCCGTTTTAGCCAAACGTTTCCGGTTTCGGTCAAGACAGGAAATAGATTTGTTTTAGTTTTTGAAATTACCGCCTTTTTCAGAGCTAACCTTATCGTCTTCGCTTATCAGCAATCAGCACTGTCAGTCCTGTCACTTCTGTCAGCTCTTCAGCAAGAATGCGGAATAGCTTTTACTAGTTAGTATTTTCTATTTGCATTTTTTTACTATCTCCTGTCCTCTTATCCAAGTTCTTGCAGCGGTCAATCTGAAGTAAATCAGTAATAAGTATATCAGTTCTACGAAAACGCTCTACTTTCTAAAGTGAATATCCTAAAACTGGTGTGTATTTACAGTAAGTTTATTTCTTATCATCCTTTTAGTCATATACTAACTGTGGTACGTAAGTCACATCGTTTGTAAAGCAAGTCTCCTTAGACTCAATTTAAGTTAAGGTGATTCGATGGACACCATATTTTGTGTCAGAACGGCATGTGATATATCGCATCCATTGGTTCCATTTTTTCAGCTATTCGTCATTTATCTCCAATTTTGAGATCGCAATTCTGTTGTCAGGAGACTAAAGCACTCACTTACCAATCTTAACAAAGAAATTTAATGTACTAAAGGCGTGGTTTTTGTAGAGAGTGTTATGTAGCAGTTGGTAGTATGTACGAGTAGCGACAATATCACTACTCGTACATACTACCAACTGCTACATAACAGAGAGAAAACATCGCATTCGATACTGAAATTGAAACTGCACTCGTATGCGATATTTTCTCTCTAAAAAAACTACGCCTTTACTACGTTGAATTTCTTTGTTAAAATTGGTAAGTGAGTGCTATAGTCTCCTGACAATAGAATGGACCACTAGACAAGGTACGAATTTAAGCGATCTGATACATGTTTCTTAACCAGAATTTCACGTGGAAAACGATTCACACAACGAAAATTACGGAAACCAACTCCTTACGAAGATATTAACGTTTTTATTTCACATGGGTTACGAGGAATTTGAACTGCCCGCTCACAAGAAACTCAAAACTCTACGTGAGTCAAATCGCCCACTACAACGGTTTCAGCAAGCCTCTCAATCGAGCAATGTTCATTTCCCATCATGTGTTGTTCAAACTATTAGCAATTTGCTATAACTGAGCCAAAGCGTCAAGATTAAGGTTGCCAGATTTTTATATCGCAGAGACTGTCATGATAACGTTTAGCGCGCGATGTGAATCACGTAGAGCATTGTGTTTTCATGAGCGGGTGGTTTGAATTCTCGCATTAAGAATCATTAAATATCTTCGTAAGGAGTCAATTTCGGTAATTTTCGTTGTGTGCGTCGTGTTTTACGTAAAATTTTGGTTAAGAAACATGTATCAGAATGCTGAAATTCGTACCTTATCTAGTGGTCCATTGCGGTCTCAAAATTGGAGAAAAATGACGAGTAGCTGAAAAAATGGAACCAATGGATGCGATATATCGCATGCCTTTCTGACACAAAGTATGGCGTCCATCGAATCACCTTAAGTACACCTGATGGATTTTTTCTGTTTGGGACTACAGATTTTTAATTAACTTATTCTCTCAGCACAGTCTTGCTGTTCTTTCTGTCTTTGAAAGAAAACGAGAAGGTAGTTCAATGGTGATTGCCGCAAAAAAATCTTGAGTGTGGCATTTCAAAACTTCCATTAAAGATGTATTGTTTAATCAAACAATCATTCAAAATCCTTAAAAGACTATGTATAAAAAGTCAGTGAAACTTTGAATAGGTAGGTAAATATTGTTTTCCTATTTTTGGTTGAGAATTAAAATCTAATCACTGTCTTTTAATTTAAAGAAAAATAATTAAGTATCGTGATTACTTACGGATGTAGGTTCTGAAAACTGCTTCATACTATTCCAGGTGCTGGTATTTTATCTCACGATGGGTGATGTGAATTTGAAGACCTTAAACGTTCAACTGCGGAAGTTTTTGCCAAAGCATCTAGATTTTCCCTCAGATGTTTCCGAAGGTGCAGTTTTATTGTTGCAAGAATCCCTAAATGCCTTACACCATTCTGAATTTGAGTGAGTATATTGTAATACCCTTTGAAATTTACAAGTAGGTTAGTTGTCTGCAAAAAACAGTTTCCTGTAATCTGCTATACAAGCAATCCGCTTGAGGCAAGAACTCTTTGTAAAGAAAGGGCGTTTTTTTCTATGCTGGAAGCCTTTCAAACACACTGCTTTTATGGAAGGAAACTTTCAAGAATGATGTGTCATGTGCTGGTATTCTTTTAAATGTGCTGCTTTAGGCAAGGATGGAAAATGTTAAACGCATTGTTTTTTTGGGGGGTGCCTTAAAAAGAAAAATATCAAATTTTGAAGGAAGCCAAAGACAATAGGCCGAGGCAGGTTCGTTAGGAAAGTTGAGTGTAATAATCTTTGAGAACGATCGCGGGGGATGTCCGCGTTACTCGAAAATTCCCCCAATTTGCTTGTCTCATTCTGCTGTTCCCCCCATCTGATTACATTGGTCTTATGCAGATCGGAGGGATTGAGGGAGAGCTATGTAGCAGAGCCGCTCAAAGCAGGGAAACATTTAGGACGAAGTGTAAAAGCAAATTAAGTACCTAGGGGAATCCATCACCACTTTGGGAAATCCCAAAGAACATCTTGTCAACAAACTGTTCGTGGGTCTATTGACCTCGATGGAGGCCAAGAATGCACTGCACCCCTTGGTTATGGACTCGCTCAGATTGTAATGAGAATCTAATCAAATTTTAAAACATTTTCAGCAGGGGTGGCAGCACTATCATTAATCTTCAAAGTGTGATTGATTTTACCTGGGAAAGATTAAACTCTGGTCATTGGAGAGATGTTCCATTTTCACAAAGGAAAATGTATGCTGCAGCGTCTTTGCTTAAAGTAAGTATAAGTAATAATATATTTTGTAGGCTTATTCTCCAGTGTCCTTGCCTTCACCACTGACTTTCCAACTTTATCCAGTATGTTTGGGCTATCTTTGAGCTATTCAGAGCTTTTCACGTATGTCTGTTTTAAGGCTGAGATGTTGATGTTAAATCATTCATCGGTGCTATTTTTCAAAAAATAAAATTTCCCATTGTAGCAGGAAAAATCTTATGCTGAGCGCAATTGAACAGAGTTTAATACAAATGCACTCTTGCATTAAGTTTGAACGGAGAAAAAGAAATTTGAAATTTTACCTTTACAAGACTCGAAGTCAAAAGACAAAATTTGACCATTAGGCACTGATTTTACGTTCAAAATATTTGTTCGCAACTTTGAATTTTTAACTGAAGAAAATTTACAGCCAGTTTCATTCAAAATTACACCATAACGCATTTTTCTTTAAAATGCAACTTTATGCGTCCCCAGTAATTCAGAGAGAATTTCAGTTGAAAGTGTTGGTCAGTTTTCTCCTAAAAAGATATAACATTTGCAGAGATTCACAACATTGTAATCTGAGATACCTAAATATAGCAGTAAGCAGTACCAAGAAAAATAAAAACTTTTAACCGAGGATAAGCAAACCAATTACACAAATAAAGATAATACTAAAATTCTGCGTAACTACTTCTAAGCACTTCGAAACTGGAAATTTCTTGAATGGGACGTACTTATCAAAATTCACATCTAGACTATCAACTAAATCTGATAGTCAGAATTTTGGAATGATTCGTCTATCGAGTTATCTTAGGCACAACAAAATTAATTTTTTGAGTTTTTTAAGTTAGTTCAAGACTTGGTACTTCGGACAAAGAAGACAGAGGATCAACAAAATTTTTGAATGATCTATTAAAGAACATCAACACAAAGCACTTAAAACAGAATGATCGCTTTCATTTTAATTCCATCATGCTGGATTTTTTTGTTCGGTATAATAACAGCTTTTTCCAACTGTTTCAGTCCATTGCAATTGTCAACTCTTTATCAAGTGTTGAAGATGAGAAGGATATCAAAGGACCTCTTCAAAATTCTCTGAAGTCTGCAGACATGGGTCTTTTGCTCGGTGCTGATTTTCGCGAAGAATTGACTAACATCGCACATATTCTATCATCTACTCTTCATTCTGGTGAGTACCTGTGTAACCATACTTCACTGTTCAAGATTTATACTTGAAAATTTCTCCACTCTTCTCAGATGTAAGTCCATCAAATATCAGTTCCTTCTCATCTGCGGGATTTTTTACTTGGAAATTGAAGGGTTCAAGCGCTTGAACCAACGCTGCACAAAACTACTTAATTTTAAATGGTAAGAAAAGACAAAATTGAAATAAATCGATTACAGAAAGTATAGCTTGAGTATTAAGTATGTGAGCAGAAAAGGAAGGAGTTTTCACTATTTGTCACTTTTCTTAAAAAAAGTGTCTACACTTAAGGGCCGTTTGTTTTGAAAAATAAATAAGAAACTGCACTAGTTATATTTATTTACCTCTTGTTTTGACAGAATATGTGCATCCCAAACTGCTCATTGGTCACTTTAGTTGTGTAAATATAGAAGCAAATTAGGTACTCTCTTTTGAACTAACGCTTGGAATTTATTGACTCATTTACATTTTGATTTGTTCAGACTCTTCAAATCAGTCACCTCAAGCAATTTCCATTGAAAAAGAAGCAGGCAGCTTTAATCCAACAAACCAAATCCATTACAATGAGCTCACTGTTTTGGAATGCCCCTCCATGGAATTTTTTCACTTTCATCACTTCAAACCACGCATCCCTGTTAAAATCTCAGGTTTGGCCTTTTTCATTATTTTTCAGACAGAGTGTTGGTGTTTTTGCTAACTGCTGTAGTCAGTCATCTAACATCTAAGTTCAATTTGTTTCAACTGGAACCGTCCGAAAAAATGGGGAGTCATATTGTTGGCTGCTGTGTATAGGAGTGTATTTACATGGTAATGCTATAAAATCTCCGTGAACATAATTTTTTCGTAACAAATCATAATCGAACCTTCACGTCTAGAAATATTCAGGAGTTGCTTATTAACACTGACGAAAATTCTAAAAATATCGTAAAAATGGTTCATCAGTGATAGAATGGTATATTTATGGACATTTTAAAACAAACTATCGTAAATACACTCCTATTTGTGGCAGGTAACAATATTTAAGCTTACATCATACTTCTTAGTGGGCACATAAAAAGCCCTTATGCATTCTATTATTCCCTCTTTTGGAAGTCCGTTAAATTCCTCCTGAATCAAGTCTAAAGATCAAAGATTTCAATGTGATTAATAAGTTATACTGGTATTGTTTTCAGGTTGTATGTCTCATTGGCCAGCATTGAAAAAATGGTGCGATGTGTCTTACTTCCGACAACTCGCAGGGTCCAGAACTGTCCCTGTGGAGTTGGGCTCAAATTACTTGGAATCCAATTGGTCGCAAAGTTTAATGACATTAAGTACATTTATTGATAAATACATCAACTGCGAATCATCCTCCCCTATTTCCGAAAATGCCACACCAACAATAGGCTATCTTGCACAGCATCAGTTATTTGATCAGGTAATTCAGTTTTTTATGTCATTCCATTTAAGGGTTCTGCTCAGCTTTTCTTAAATTTTTCCAAGCCCAGCTAAAAAGAAAGTGATTAGCTTATAAGAAATCTAAAAAGCAACTAAAGGGGACACTACTTACACCTCCAACGCGGAAGTAATATGCTACCATGTTACAGTGCTTTCGTTTCCAAGTCCTAATTAGAGGCATGACGCACAGACAGAGCCCATACAGTACTCACGTTATGTACAAATATCACCTAAAAAGACGACTTAGTCGCGTTTATTTCCACAAATTTCATCGCATTTGTCGAACAGTCGCATCACAAATCTCAAGCAGGAAACACTTTTTCTCAGGTGATGATTTGCACTGTTTAGTACCTAATTACATGTAAAAATTAACATTAATTTTAATTTTTTAGCTTTTTGCGCCTCATACTTTGCACAGTCCTGTGTAGATTATAAATTCTAATTCCACATGATTTTTTTTTTCCTAATTTAGTTCGATCATGCCTTTCTTGTTTAATACTGAGCCTTTGAGTATGTTTTAGATTCCAGAACTGAAGAAAGATATTTTTGAACCAGAATATTGCTGTTTAATGGAAAATCCAGACATTGACCCAGAAGGGACCGATGTAAATGCTTGGTTTGGACCCAAAGGAACCGTGTCTCCCTTGCATTATGACCCAAAACATAATCTTCTGTGTCAGGTCAGTGAGTTCTATTTTGCTGAACTTTCTATCTACTGATACTCAAACATGTTCTCTTTAAACTCCCTAAAAAGATAAAGGGAGCTAAAATAATTTATTTTTTTCTTAGTTTTTAACATTTTACTAAACATAATAACAGGATGGCAAAGTAGTACGGGGGCCTCACTACACTGCAGGGAAATCAAAGCCAGAAAAATATTAGAAGTAGAATTACAAAATGATCCCTAATGAGTCGTTTCAGGACAAGACTAAGAAAGGATTCAGCTCTGGTAGATGCATTAGAATACTTAACTGGAGTCATGCTGAAAGATCTGATCAGCAGCCTGATTGTTAAAATTTATGTCGGCACGACAAGAATCGAAAATCGAAACATTACATGGCGCAGATAGGGCTATGTCTTGTCTTATCGTGCTGACATAGCCAGTTAAAGTTTCAACAATCCGGCTCCTGGTTTGGGTCTTCTTTAACCCTGTTGGCAAATCTTACTCATCGTCAGTAAGTGAGCTCAGCTTAGTATCCCGCAAAATCATAGATGGCACTGTAACCCCCCCCCCCCCCNNNNACTGCTTCAGACTTCTTCACTATAGATATTTGTGTTAACAACTCAAATTAATTTGTTTTTATTTTTCTACGATAGGTGGTTGGAACCAAGCAAGTCGTTTTATTTTCGCCGGAGGATAGTAGCAATGTTTACCCCCACGAAGGCACCTTGGTGTCAAATTCTGCCATGGTGGATCCTGAAAATCCAGATTTTGAAAAGTTCCCAAAGTTTCAGGAAGCTACTGGTTATACATGCCTTTTAAAAGCAGGTAAGTAATACGATTTGGAACGAGATTGACAGAGATTTTCCCAGTTGCATTTTTAAGAAGAAAAAAAGAAAAAAATGAGGCAGAAATAGTTTTGGCAGATTCAATTACATAGTTGGGAAATTTCTCTTTCTAAAAATTCGAAGTAAAGAAAAATGTTTTGAAATTGGAAACAGTCAATAAACTTTTTCCCGGAACATAGAGTCTCTTGAAGGAATAAAACTTCAAACCTCTTTTCCTCGATTCAAACTTAATATGAATGGATGTGCTTCTGTAAAACTAGGTCAATAATTTAAAACAGTTAAACAAGGTCCACTTGTTCTCTCACTCTCACAGAGATCAATTACCAAGTCTCTCATTAACCATAACATGCCTGCAGTAGAATTCATTCAAATTTTTGGAGACTTGCGTAATATACACACTCAATTTCCAAATGTTTTAATGAGAGCATTTCTGAGGGAGGGACTGTAAGGTAACCTGACGACCATTGCCTATGATCCCAGTTTTATGGTATCAACAGCTTCTTTTGGAGGGACCTTGTGTAGTTCCTAATGACAAATGATCCTTCGTCAAATTGCAGTGCATGAAGCCCTCTCAAAAAAATTTTATGGCTGATCTACAAAAGAGTGTGTCTCTTTGGCCTTCTTTTTTTAGTGGCCCTTTTTTTTTTTTTTTTTCCTTTATTGTGCTGCTCTCACAATACAGTCGTCTCTCAGTATGAATTACATCCACAAAGGGCAAGTAATTATCGTGAAGTTTCGTTCTTGTTCTTTACTTGATGAATTCCCTTTTCATTTTTTTTTCTTTCTTTCTTCTCTTCAATAAATTAGATGAACTTCCTCCTTTTGGATATAGAAACTTCAAACCATCATATTTTCTTGCCAGGATTTTATATGTACCCAGTTTAGCTGTTGCTTTACATGTAACTAGCGGTCCAGGTGAGGGGGGGGGGGCATTATTTTATCCTTTTAAATTTTCTTTGTACCATTGTTTCATACAATTTTGCCCATATGAGTCACGACTATATCCCCTAAAATAAGTCTTTCATAATTTTTCTCGATATCTATCATTGCTCCCTTATCTCTCAATATGGACTCTTCCTTATGGACTCAAAGTAAAAAAGGTGAAGGGGTACCTCACTAATGTTAAAAAAAGTATGAAAATTCCTGAAAAGTTGTTTCGTCGAATTTTTCCTCCTTAAAAAATAAAAATTTACTTTCCTCCAAGCTGAGAAGTTATTTTTTCCAGTCGTAGGTAGGTATGGCAACAATTATTTTCTCTTTTAACAAAATAATCATTTATCATAAATATACCCATAATGTATGTATTTCAATTTATTTGTTAAGGTGAGATGTTGTACATTCCTCCAAAGTGGTGGCACCATGTTAGATCACTGTCCACAAGTTTTTCTGTCAGTTTCTGGTGGATGTAGAAAAGAGGACAACTTGAATTTAAAAACCACTTGAGCCCTCCATCGTTCCCTGACTAATCCTAAACGGTAAGTTTCAGTTGGTATGTTCAGCACTTTCATTTAATCCTTTGTGTTTACAAAAGTATTTTTTTTAATAGGGAGGGAAGTAGTCAGAACAATCTGGTAAATTTACACAGAATTAGCCTTACTGTATTTCCCATTGCTGATTTTTCTGTGTCAATTAGTTTACACTATTTTAAAGTCCAAATTTAACTGTCAATGCTACCAAGATATTCCTTCCAACAAAAATAAAATAGAAAAGTGTCAGCCGATAAAAACAAAACTGTTCGCAAACTCACAGAGGCGAAGCACTGTCATTGAGATGTTTGTCACACACTTGGAACCAAGGAGCACTGAAAAACTTCCAGAGAAATATTCCTTTGATTCGTTCATTTTTCCACCCATTGGAATGTGAAGTCACCTTGTAATAATGCCCCTGAACTTATTTGAGAATTTTTTCCTGTCCTTATTTTGTTTACTCGTTGCATCACGAGAACCAGTTTTCCATTATTCATTCTCATCTCTCAATCCTTGTTCAGAAAGTATTCCGCGTCATCGATATTGACCCACTTTATTTGACCTACTTGATTACCAGCGTCGTCATGAATGGAATTTCTCTTCTTCCTTGGAAGAGATCTTTCTCTCTGCTGCCCCCCTCCTACCCTCTCCCTCCCTCTCGAGTGATGCATGGAAAAAGGATCCCCTTTTTTGATCTTTTTCATTGACAAACACTGCCCAATCCTAACTATCCCCCTCATATTCCTCCTATTTCCGTCATACACCCTTACATGTCTTTGTCTTTTTGCTGCTCTTTTCTGTTCAACAGTATTTTATTGTGTTTCATTAGATTTCTTGCTTTCCTTTAATGCTATCCATTTGGAAATGTTTTCCTTTTTCTATTGACACCTAAAAGTTAAATATGTTGTATTGAATCCCGCAAGTCAAATAGTGGTCTTTGGTTGTCAAACAGATAAATATTTTCATTTATCTGAGGTTCAAGTGGAGGACATATCTTTTTTTTTTTTGCTATGCAGAGAGACTTTGTAGCTATAATTTGCAGGTAAGAAGAATTGAAGGATTTTCCTCTATCACTTTGTATGTTCCTTATAAATTTAATATTTTACTGATTTATTTACTCTTTATGCAATCATATTTTTACTGATCACACTTCATCTCTTTGTTTGCCCGAAAGTGTAATCATGAAAAATACTTCAATTGTAAGATTAAATACATGTAATTTGTTATCTCAACTTCTCTGCTGAAAAAGGACTTCACCCCACATAAATTCAAAATTGAGGTATCGTTTTATCATTGCTTGGCAAATGACTAAATTTCCTCCATTTCCAAAGCTAAAAAGTTGATAGAAATTAAATTTTTGGAAATCAAGAAAGAAGGAAAAGACTGAAAAATCAAGAAAGTCGTAAGACTTTCTTCATTTCTTAGTCTTAACTTTATCAAATGTAGTAATTTTTTTAAATCTTTCTTAGTCTTCATTTCTTCAATCTTAAAGAATTATTTTTGACCGACACGGTATTGCGTCTTCCGCAAAACTGTGACAAAGGATACAAAGTTTTCATTGCAACCAAGATTTTTTCAGCAACGAAGAAAATTACCAGTAATTTTTAGTTTTGAATTTTTTTTCCTGACTAAGTCAATTCTGGTAAAAAAAAATTAATTGAAGCTCATTAATTCTCTCCAGGGTTTCAGAGCAGCCCTAAATTCTGTCATTAAAATTGTTACCACTGCAACCAATTATGTCCTAATGGCTCCTTTTTCTATTTTTTCTGTAATACAACTTATAGCACATTTTAATTTATGGTCCTGTTTCTTCTGGTTTGAATAATAACTCTGCACATATTGAGAAAAATGCAGAACAAACCGGTGTTTTACTTCTTTTATTAAAGAATTAGAAAGCTAGCAGGGGACTTTAACTCTAAATATGATCATGAATTTCATCTTATGCCTATGATTTAGAAATGATTATATTATCTTGAACATCTGAAACTTTAAAATTATTGATGAAAGTAAGCATAATTGCAAGAAAAAGAAAAAAACAAAAGGTAAGGTTTGATATCTAAGGCAAAGAGTACATGCCCAAAAAACTTCAATGGAAGCAACCTACTTTCAGAATAATTTTCCATCTGGGAATTTTGTTTACATGCGGAAATTCCTTTAATTTTGTTGTTGCCATTTATTTATTGTTTGGTTTTCGTTGATTTAGACCGTGACCTCAAAAAAATAGCTTGTAGGCTGTCAATGAAACTGAATCAGTAGCATCTCAGTGATTGTGAATCTATAATGAGCTAGTTTGACGGTTGTCGGAATAACTAATAAGATGCTTTTTATAAATATATGCAGTCCTGTCAGTCTGACACAGTTTATCAAATTCTGAGGTGTAGTGATCTTCAGAGAAGTGTTGCTTAAATAGTCATACAGTCGTCTGACGTTTAAGAAATATTCAGTCAAAGTTCTCCCGTTCGGACTAAACAATTGTACCTAATCCCAGTGCTCTATTGTTGTTTATCATATTAGTATTTATGCAACTGAAAATTTCTCTCGAAATCAATCCATTTTTGTGAGTATCTTCAAAATGTATTGGAAATTAGAAAGAATTTTCTTATACCAGTTAATAATATTAAGTATTTATTTTCAATTGTATTTGTTCATTTATTATTTCTAGGATCTATTTTCCTTAGCGCTCAATGGCATGGTGTTACTTATTAGTAACGACACATGTTTTGGTTCTTTAAAAATTTAATTTTTCCTCTGTATCATAATTTTGCAAATTTTCATCAGTGTTTTCTTTTTTGAAAAAATAATAAAAAATTTCGAATTTTGAGAGAAAAAAGTCGGGACTGAATGTTTCTACAAAAGCAACAACATTGATTGGTGTCCCTTAGATTCTAAGATCAAAAATTCAATCCATGCCATAGAAAGTTAAGTGTTTCCAAAAAGTCATCTGTCTTTTTCATGCATTTTAAGATCTGTAAACTAAAATCCTTAAACATAAAAGTCCTTTATTATTTAACACGTATTCTAAAATTATTCAAGATCAAAATATTTTAATGCATTGTTCAGTTAACTGTATACTTGAAAAATACATCTCTATATTATGAATCGGTTCTTGTGTACTTTAAGTGAAAGTAAAAAAAAATGACAACAGTGTCTCTCAAAATTTATGGATCTAAAAAATGTAATTTTTTAAAGCAAAAATATAATTTTGATTGCCTGCTGTAATGCCCTTTGCAATGAGAAACCAAGTGTAGAAAGTAAAATATTTAAACACGGCAATGATTATGTAAGTGACCAAAGTTCCCGCACCATGAACCTAACTTCATGCTCATGCTGTATCATCATGCTGCATGTCCACTTCATGCTCATTTTCACATTTCTATGTTCCTTTATCAGCTTTTGTTCCTGGTTGTGACTGAGCTTATGATTAGCCCAAAACATCCAAATTTTTTCTCACTGTAGCTATTTTTTAACCGTAGTAATTTTCTTCTGGTTCTGTTGTTAATTGGGCCCTCTTAATATCCTGATATCTAATCTCTCTCCTACATTTGGCAAAGACCTTTGATGTTTCCTTTTCCAACAGCTCAGCTGCCTGTGTATGTTTGGAATTTCTTTATTTTATCATTAATTATTTGCTTTTATGCTGTACACATTTTCAGAACTATAACTGTCGGAATAATTTAAAAAAAATGTTTACAATAAAAAAAAAAATTATGTTTCAATGCCTTTCATCTCCGGTATTTTTGTTTTTGCTTATTTTTAGCTATCAATACTTTATTTTTTTGCTCTTCCTCTTTTTTCAGAATAACGCATCATGTTAGCTCATGTTGGTCTCATCATATGTTTAATTGGTATTTGCACATCCTTCCCAGCGCAGCCAGATAAGCCTGTGGATGAAGAAGATGTGAACATTCCTGAAAATGGATCAGATGAAGGCTTGTACAATCCAGATAATCATCCAGATGTTTTTGAGGGAGATATTCTAAGAACGAAACCGGTAATTTTTTCGTTTCATTTTTCTCGTATTTTTTCAGTCCTTTAAAATGAAGAGTAGTCATCAGTTTAACAAATAGAAAAGGTTAAAATTTTACTGGAACTGTTAAATGTTCCTTCCTGAAGTTAGTCAATTTTACCTGATGGTTGTTCATTCCTTCAGTGTAACATTACACCTCAAAATACATCATCACCAGTAATTTTTGTCAATCATACGAAAAATAAAATGAAACAAATATATCCAAATAACGTAAAACACCTCTGGTTATGCAGATCAAACTTTTTATTTGTAAAATTTAGCACACATTTTCACATGCAACTGTGTTTCTAATCGGGGAACTTATCGATACCGGAGTAGTAGATGGTTGACGGTTTTTACTGAATTCAAACTTGCCCACTCAGCACTTCAAAAATGCCTCTTCAAAATCAGAAGCATTAATAGTTGGTTTAATTACAGTGCCGGTCTAATCAAGGCTTGAAATAAGTTGAGTGCAAGTTTTATTTAGAAGGCTGTATCATGTGACATATCAGTGGGATTTATTTGTTTGAACCTTTGATAATGTCCACCAACAAAAGATAATTGCTTGTACAAATATTTATTTAAAATGCACTGTTACTTGGGAGTCCATATTTCATAGGCATACCATGATGAGAGGTCATGAATACGCTTGATAGGATTGTTTTACGTTCTATCTTACTTCTATGAATATGTTTAAAAAAAACAATATTATGTATTCAGATCAGTTCTTTTGATGCTCACAGAAGAAATGAACTTATTCACTCTTTAAAATTTTGTTGAATTATCAGAACATGAATTGTTTAGAGGAAAATAATGTATAGTCAACTGGATTTTTTAATGTTCAAAACTGCACTGTTCAGTTTTAAGAAGTATTCATGGTTAAAAATGATTTTGGTCCTGGTTTTTGGTTCAAAAAGACTGATTCCAAAGCACAGAGTTCCAGGAAGTTCTTAGGAGCAAAAACCAGTTGTGATTTGGATCGCATTTAGCAAAATGGAACCAGCAGGGTTAAAGTATTGTATAAATGTTTACTCTCCATAATTATCTAAAGACTTTCCCAGAAGAGTAAATAGTTTTGGCTTCCCGTCAACTAATTGTCAATTTTAAAGGAAAATAATTGTGTAAATGTTAATACTGTGCACATATTATGTATTTTTAAAAGAGAAGGAGAAGTTGCACGATTTTGAAAGCAATGTAATCGCGTTGGTTCCTTTTTGCTAAATGCGATCCATTTCAGTCTCTTCCCTTACCCTTAAAAAATTCCTCCCCTCCAAAAATTGTCAAAAGTACCTGTCAAGTGAAAAAAAAACTTCAATAACAATCAGCAGACTTTTCTGGGTTTTTTTTTTCTTTCTTTAACAAAAAAAAAACTCTTCCGCTGAAAAATTGCCTCACATCATGCCACCCGCAAGCCTGGGTTGCATACCAGAGCGCTCTCTGCACCCCTTACTGATCATGTCCTTAGTTTTCTTATTTTGTATAGTTTCAATTCCTCTAAAATCTCATCAAATTCTTTCTTCAAACAGGATCTTATTAAGAATGCCATCAACAGCGAAGAGTATCTTTGGCCAAATGCTGCTGTAATCTATAAAATAGAAGATAGTGTTGGTAAATATCTTTTTTCTTGTACTCTGTCATGTTTTTCTCTATTTATGCTCTCATCAAATTATTTATCAATAGTATTTAATTTATTTTTCTTACTTTTTGATTTTAAACTCTGGGAAATCGCAAATCAAGTTGCAGTCAATGAAACAGTTAAGTAATGATAATTACAGACCGTGCAGAATTTAATTATACATCATAAATTTCAATTGAATGCACCCTCATGGTATCAGCACAGTTCCTCAGCCCTCGTATTAAGATAAAACAGGGGTGAGTTGGTTGCAGGGTGTAGACAGGATTTAATCTTTGAGCACGAAAGCGGTGGTGCCATAGATTTGGTGCGTCAATTCAGACCCCAAAATCTCTTGTTCCATTGTTGTGAGAATCCGCTAGCTAGTTCCCTACCCAGTTGCCAAGCAGAACTATTCCACTATCATATAATGAATTCAATTTTGATTTAACCCGTATTTTAATATTCTGTATAGACTGCAATTAAAGCTCTCTAAAAGCTTTATTTTAGTATGAATTCAAGCACTCTCTGTAAATCTGAGACACCAGTCAATGTTATGCCATCTGGTGCTTCCAAGTTTGGAAAAGTCATGCGTCAGTTAGTGTATTTTTCATTATCAAAATTGTTACTGACCGTTAATTTCTTTAGATCTTATTAGTATGTCCAGGCCAGGGATTAAAAGCCCTCAGTTCCAAGTTGTATTAAACGCTAATTAACTATTAAAAAAAAAAAAAAATCTGAAACACGCCTGACTTTGGCGTCTAGTTTGGTCATCAGGGGATAGTGATCATTGCTCCCAGAATTTGTGTCAGAAAAGTTAATGACTCCACATATTTACTTTCGACTAACATGCCCAGTCAACTGAAGCAAGCATGATTATTAAACGGCAGCAATTTTGGCTGATTCACTGCTGATGCTTTGCCCAAAATACTTGTGTGAGTCGATTGTGCTTGCCAGTCAAAAATATACAAGTGTCAAGGTTTCTGATGTACGCTTTACACTCAATGAGCAACAATTATTTCTAGTCATTTGCTCATTGTAACATTTTTCAATGATAGGTAACGGATAGGAAAATTTGCCAATCTACTTAAATCTTGTAACATGATTTTTTAAGGTTGAACTTTGATGCGAGAATATACTCAATCACTGTTTTTGTCAGGTTTCATTGTATCTCATTCATTGTTCACAAAAAAAACAGAGAGGAAAAAAAGAAGAAACTTAATAAGTACTCTGCTGTGCTAAGGAAATATGCTGTATGAACACTTAGACATTGCAAAATTCTCCCTTGGTAAAGTTTTTATTTTTGAAATAACAGATGAATATATTTCCTTAAAATTTTCCGATACTCTAGATCCAACATCAAATTGTGAATAAAATTCTCTAAAAAATTGGAAGGACAACTTTAACAATTTTCGCAGGAAATTTGCATTTTATCAGAGGATATTTAGCAATGCCTGAGGGCTCCTACAGCGTTTTTCCTAAGCATAGCAGTATTGAGACCAATGACATTAATAGAATATTAATAATTTGTTCCTGAATTTCTAGGTGCATACTGACCTTTCATGTGCATTTCTGTTTCAAGGGTGTCCTTATTCACAACAGTGCAAGATTTTAATGCAAGCAATGAAACACTATGAACGACAAACTTGCGTCAGATTCAAAGAATGGACAGGGGAGACTAATTATATCTCAGTCTTCTTCAATCCAGACAGGTATGCTTTTATGATACGAATGTTGGCAAAATATGTTACCAATCGTCCTATTTCTAAAATATCGCCTCATTTATTTAACTAGCTCACTTATTGTCAGAATTATCAGGAGAATTGCTAAATTAGACTGTAAGAACAATACTATTTTAAAATCCTGATGGGCCACTGGACAAGGTTTCAACTCAAAAGAAAAGTCAGGTTTTCTCTTAAAAATCATACGCAAAAAACAAAACTAAATAAGGAAACTATGCAAACGTATGATGGCTCTGTGCAAAAATGTGTAGCTCAACGGCAACGTTTGAAAATTTCCAGATACGTTTTATTTTTTCAAAGAGAACCAAAAAAAATTGCTTGTGATTTTTTAAGAGTGAGTGGAGATAATGTACAGATAATTTTAGAGGAAATCATTCCTTAATTTCTCTCAGAAAAAATAAAACATGAGCGGAGACTCATTCTTCGTAATCTAAGATACGCATTTTTGACGTTAACTGTCAATATTGGAGTCTTATTGTAGTCCTAACAATTTTTTTCAAATATTTGTCAAATACTTACATATTTTAGCTGAATCACTCCTTGTTCTGACTTCTCGTTTCTTCTGTTTTCATATCAGTGGCTCTTGCTGGTCGGCTGTTGGGATGATTGGTGGCGAACAGAAAGTATCTCTTGGCCAAAGATGTTGGTACAAGGGTATTGTAATACATGAACTAGGTCACGCTGTAGGATTTTGGCATGAAATGAATCGCCCGGACAGAGATGACTGGATCTACATTTTCTGGGAAAATATTTTACCTGTAAGTTTGAAAGTTTGACAATGTAATGCTGATTTTAATTTTTATCAAAAATCAACTTTATCCTGGAGTAAACAAAGTTTAAGACTGGCAGTTAAAATGATCAAAGAGCAAATTTTTTTCATCGAAAAATTATCATTTAACCCAAAGAGTTGAAGACGAATAAAATTTCCATCCACTCTAAATAACGATGTACACTTACAAATAATTGAAAAATTCGACTAAAAACTGGATGAATACAATACATTTCTGAAACTACCATCAACTTAAACGTGTCCTTTTTATCCAGAATTTTCCTCTTTTATCCTCAAGTATGTAAATGGAAAAAAACGCATTAAAGTTTTCCTACCTCAATTTTCTGCCAAGTGCAAATCATTTTGGTGGGTCTGCTATTCTTTATCTTCAGCTTTCGTTGTCGCAACAATAGCCTCCTTGTTTGCGCTGTATTTTATTTGCATTTCTTTTTTTTCAAGTTTGAATGTACCCTTAACTTTATCCAAATCTCTCCTTTTTTTATTCAGAGTTTGAGACCTGCGTTCAACAAACACGATCTTACTCAGTCAAATTTACTCGGAGAAAATTTCGATTACAAATCCATAATGATGTATGATGAGTACGCATTTTCAAAGGTAATCTTCCTATTAAGTTCATTTACTATTTCCAGTGCATGAGAAAGCAGACTTGAGCTTTTTATTTATAGTGCAATTGGCTCCGCAAACTTCATTGTAACACTCAAGTTTTCTAGTTACAAACGCTCCTTCAATCCTATAAATCTTATCTTATTAAAAAATGTATCTCATTCTCCTTTGAACAAACAAAATATAGAAGTGATTCGCTTCTTTGATTTATCAATTATTATCATCTAACGATATTATAAATCATCAAAATTTAAATCTGTTCAAGCTAATGTCTATCTCATTCTTCTCATCAATTTATTTTTTCCATAGGATGGTATCTCTCCCACGTTGCAAGCAAAAACCAACGAAGAGATTGGACCCATCTGGAGGAAAGGAAAGCTCAGCGATGTTGATATTAGAAGAACTCATAAGCTCTACCAATGTGAAGGTATGTATATATTACTCTAATGTCCCAGTAAAGGAGCTCTCCTAAATGAGATTTATTACTAAAGCATGCAATAGGAAGGAGAGGTCTCTGTCCTCATCTTAGTTGATATTAAGATAAGAGCCTGAATAATTGCACATCTGTGCAAATGAGAGAAACAAGTAAGTCACATTTTAACACATATTGGCATCTACCCATGCGATAAAAGACGTTAATGAATTTAAACAAATCCTCCAGTAGGTAGAACAGTTTTTGAAAAATTGGAATTCAAGATTTTAATGGGCAATATTCTCTTAAATGTCAAAGAGTAATTTAGGTGCGACTGGTTTAATTCATTGTTGTGACAATTAGAGGTATGAGACTTTTAGATAAAATTTTGATCCCAGGAAAATCAGAACTTCTGACAGGTTTTTCAAAACTAGCTGTCTTGAATTGTGTAGTTTAAACGGTTGCACATAACATCTGGGTATTTGATTCAACAGTTCTAGGATTTTTCTAGCAAAAATGTTTGCATTATGTATTAATTTTGAATTTTTGAATTCGAAGGTACTCCGCACTATATAGGATCACTTATACTTTTGTCGCAGTGCAATAACCTAAAGGTTTTTTTTATTTTCCAGGAGCAAATCAAAAAGCAGCTTTCCCTGTTGACATTATGTGCTCATTTGAGCAACATTCTTGTGGGTTCAAGGATATGAATCAAGATTGGACATGGAAAAGTACAAATCAAGGTATGGATGAAAGTTTACAAATGTATTTTCTTTTTTAGCATATTATATTTGCAGGGTGGCTTGAAACTAGGAAAACTGGGAATGTTAGGAAGTTACAAGGAGTTTCGTGAATTCCCGTGCAAGATTGAGCTGACTCCCAAAATAATGACATACTAACAGCTGAAGCACTGTGTATTAAGCCTTTTTAAAAATTAGGAGTTAATGAGGAAAGATGCCTTGCTTTATTTTTGAACAAAAACTCTACTCTGGGTTTCTCGCCCTTCGCAGTATTCTACCAATGGAAAGATAGCACACTCAAGCCCTTAATGATTGGTCTTCCCATCTCTGAAGCATGAATCAAATAAGGTCAATCAACATATTACAATCCGTTTTACTTGGCAGTTTCCTTTTCTTTATTTTTATGATCAAGCAGAAAAATCCTCTGCCCTTTGATCAGCGTCCTTGTTTATTTTATTCTGCAAGAGGTTTTTTATTTTGTTTATCATTTGTTCCTTTCAGGTGGTTTTATTCTTGCAAATTTTGAAAAAACTGGAAATAATGTTGCACAACTCCAGTCGATTAATTTCCATGGATTGAGCACACTTGATAAATCCCGAGGACCTCTAGGGTGTCTCTCGTTCTCTTACCTAATGATGGCGGACTCCAATACATATTTAAGGGTAAGAATACAGTTTTCATTCCTTTTTTTATGGAAAAAATTAAGTGTCAGCTGAAGGAGACATACAAGTAATTTGCACTCATTCACATAGACTGCTGCTGATTTACGCTGACAAATTTTGTCGCAGGTAAAATAAAAATTGGGCATTATTATATTTACATTTTACAAAGTACTTGCGTACCTCTTTGTGTTTTGGTCTCACTTCTCCAATTTCTTTCACATATTTTCTTATATTTTATTTTTAAAATTGTTATTTTTTCCCCCAGTTGTCACAAGCTTATCTAGATTCTCCACAGCAGATTACGATTTCTCCTGAAATGGCATTTGATCTATGGCTGGAGGACAAACCCAATCAACAATGGACACAAGTGTCGATTCCTCTTTACGTAACCAAGCCTTTCAAGGTATGTACGACAGTTAAATTGACTCCTCAATCCTTAACTTAGCAGTGTGAGAGATATTGCCAACCGAAAATATGATTAAGAGGCAAACAGTTCACATTTTTTCAGTGATTTTCATATTTACCCAAGTCTTTGTTCCTCCTCACAAAAAAGTAGAAATTCATGAATGATCACAATCATTAAAGGATATGAAAAGATGATACATCATACATATTTTAAAATAATATAAAAAACAGGACAGAAATCATCTGTTGATATTTTCATAAGTCTCTGTCAATAAGATATCAGTAAAATTCAGTTTTTTCATACTCCCACCAACTGATTTTCAAATTTTAGGGCTTGTTTTAAAGTTGACAGTGTATCAAATATGCAATTTGATTTCGTTTTTCTTATTTTAGCTTGAAATGCATAAAGAAGGGACTTTATTTTTAGACAATGCTCATAAATAAGCGCAATGCTCTAAATGCCAGTTTGATCACGGCATATTTGGACCAAAAACAGAATCAGCTCCACACTAGTGCTAGAGAATCCAAAATCATCCCAAATATTGACCAAGCCACCAATATTTTCTCCGGTGTTTTTGCCTGTCTGTCAGCCCCCAAGTTTGACCACAATATCTATTTTTTTCAAGCTCTTTCAACCTGAGATCTCCTTAAGTAATCCTCATAGCTTAATAAGATTTCAGTTAGGTTTTAAATCTTTGAAGAGGCTATTATTTCCTAGTCCTCAGGATGAAGACTTTGAGTCTCAAACTGAATTCAATGTGAAGTTAAGTATTTTAATTCCTCATTTCATTTATCTGTGTATTTTTAGCTGCTGTTTGAGGCCAAATTCGAAGCAGGAACCACTCAAGGTACGGTCGGGCTAGATAACATCAGTATCAAATATACCTCGTGCTCAAGTGAGAGCCTTGCTCCTTCCCCCGCTCTTGGTGGAGCCGCAACATCCAACACTACATCAACAGAAGAATCAGCAACTTCACTGACAACAGAAGGAGGTAAGCCTGAGATAACAACAATATCCAACAAAACAGAGTGAGAATTTCAGAACTGATTTCCCAACCTCTCATCCGGTTTTAGTGCTTACTGGTGCTCACTGAAACTGGTGTGATGCCAGTGAGAATGAGCATGCTCCGCAAGAAAACTATTTCATCGACCCACAAAATTACGACTAAAACTCAAAATAATCAGATCAAGACAGAGGAGGCCAAAGTAGTCACTTTTCTCAATGACCTCAGACGTAAAGGTTTTGACTGATGTGTCAGCATGTCAAGAGTGGACTGTTGGAAGTTTTTTTTTGTTCGTGGGCATATCCCAATCATAGTGTTTACAATTTTCCGTGCCAAGGAAAAACGCTGTATGAACCATCAAGCATTGCCAAAGTTCCTTTGATGAAATACGAATTTATCTAGACAATTTTAAATATTTTTCTTCCAATTGTTCTGACAGCCTTGTTTGCAATTACTTACATTTAAAATGTCTGAAAACTTTAAGGAAAAATGTGCAATACTTTCCTTAAAAATAATTTTTTTATCAGGAGAAATTTGGTAAAATTTGAATGTTCATACAGCATTTTACTTTAGCAGTATTAGTCTCTTCATGTGAAAAACATAAATTCCTTGTGATTTCTAGTCATAGAATCAGTATGTGATGCAGTAATGCAAAATGTGCCTTAAAGTGGAAACTGAAATTGTTCAGTTCAGCAAAACAAGTTGTTTTGTGTCAAAATTTATTGATTGTCATTTTCCATTGCTAACTCTCAAGAAGTTCAGGTCAAAGTTCCAAACCATAATTTTCGTTATTAAGTAATGATATTTTTAGTGTTCGAAGTGAATCTTTCCGAATAATGGCAACAACGTTGGCAAACTTCAGTGGTGATTTTCTCGCACTCCCCATTTTTGCCCTCAAACTTTGAATTGCTGCCAAAGGGTCAATTGTTTTATTATTTATACTTATATCATTCGCTCTGCCCTACCCTCAGGCACATTTTGCCCTGCTGTTTCAAATTCACCCCCAAAAGATTTTTAAAAAAATAACTGACTTGCATAATGTATTGCTATTTTATTTGAAAACTTTACAAAAGTTGCAAAAGAAAATGTTCAAACTCAATCGTTTGTACCATTGATTTTGATACAAGCAAGTGGATGCTGCGCTTGACTCATCCCTAATTGTTACAACTTTATTCTTCTCAAATTAGTCTCAGAAAGATTGAGAATTTTGATTTATATAGTTTCCCACAGACCCTCATTTAGAGTTTTACCACCATTTTGAAATATTGGTGTTGTGCATTTTTAAGAAATTTTCTCAAATATGTCTGAAACTGACATCATTTTGCTGTGTAAGTATTATATAAGTGTCCAAAATTTGAGTGTTAGATTATCAGAGGTGACTTCAAAACTTTAGCCTAAGAAAAAGTTGCTAATCGAAGACTGAAGGATTTTAGATTATTTTGTGAAGTTGTTTTAAAGGAATTGTTTCCTGTTATGTAGTATTTTCTCAAATGATAAGTACATATCATTTATTCACAGCAAAATGGTGTGATTTTTTAGGTTTCTGTGGAAAGTTTCCTGAAATTTATAAATGTTGTCAATTGACAATTGATTTGCCTTATTAAGCTCTGTAGATCTACTTTTAAGAAAAATTTAGCTTTTAACTTTTAAGTTGATTAGAATCTCATGTTTACATGCTTTCACTTAACTGCTTGTCATAATCAATTATATCCTTCAAAAATAGAAAGATCTGGATGAATTGTTTCATTTTCGGTGACTGGCGGAATTTATTGTTTTTAATTTTGACCGACTTACTCCAAACTATTTTAGAATTCACAATTTTCAGCAATCCTTTAATTTTTGAGTCATCATAAATTTATCACTCACCTCAATTTTGAAAGCAAAAAAGAATATATTTGTGAATAGTAGTATCTTTAATTCCTCTACACTCGAGTATTAATATCCTCAGCTAATTTCAGATGAGTGGAGACTTAAATGCCATGTTATTATGACTTTGATGTCTTTTTAAATGTATAAAGAATGTACTGATGTAAGGTGATTACTGTAAATTTGTAAATAAAATATCATGGACACTGTGTGTTTGCAATCTAAAGTCTCTGCCTTTTAAATGATTTTATCAAATTAACTGCCTTTCTTTCAAGTATCTTAGCAAGAGCTATTTAATTGTTGCCAATTTTAACATTTTAAGTTCCCATACAAGTAGGCCGTATTTAACCAACCGAGTCTGATGAACATGATTTTGCTCATGTTGACAATGAATTTCTTCCCACATTCCAGTTTTTTTTTCTGGTGACTTTCAAAGCCCTCTATTTTTTTTCCCCCATACATAATATCCCCGAAATAATGAAAAAAATACAAGCCTTGTGTTTGTAGGAAAAAGAAAAATATGGTTTATTGGTTCACATAATGACAATTTAAGAGGGAAAAAAAGACTTACATTACATTTTAGTGGTGAAAAATAACAAAAAAATACAACGTTTGATAAGCATAGGATCGACATATCAATTGGCACTCATGCTGTCCAACCTAGACTATTGAAAAGTATAGTAGGTATGAAATGAATTTCTTATTTGCGACTTTACTTTAGAGTTTTCCAAAATCTGAATACCTAGATAACCATGTATCATCTTTAATTTTCATTGACAGTTTGCTCTCCAGTTGCATTTACTTACATAGGTAAGATGAGTCTAATTGAGAAAATTGCCTACCTATTTGTCTCTCAACGTTTCTCTTTTCTCAAATAATTTTTTACATTGAGGAAAACTGGAAAACTGCTTTCCATGAAGTTAGTATCATTAAGTACTTCTTAAGTTAGTGTTCTAAGTACCTACGAAAAGAAATTCTATTGAATGCCTTACCCTTCATCAAACAATGTCATGCTTACCATAAAATCTCAACAGGATAGGTACTCATATTATTCATTACCGTACAAACATAAAGTGAGGATATGTAAGTAAGTCGATAAACTTAATTATAACTATGAATAAGAAATGGAAGGGAAAAAATCGAAAGGGAAAATTAGATTGTACAGATGTGTGCATATCAGACAACTAATGAATACAACAAATATGTACCTAATTCTCTCATTTCATAATTTTCACTCTTCCAAGTTTTTTTATATTCGGTCCTGAGGATCATATGAATGAACTAATTAAGTAAAGGGTAATTTTAATTTTGTTTTCTTTAATATAATCACAGCCATTTTAAACTATTTCTAATGTGTAGGATTATAATAATTAACACTATCTATATTAAGACGGCATACCTAAAGCAAGAAGGAACTCTAATTAAAGGATTTCCTATTTTCTACGGTTACTTTTTGCTTAGTGCGGTCCATTTAATTTCCACAAACAGCATTTGACAAATATCGAAACAAATGCTACTTTCGGCCCAAAGTCAACCTCCTCTTTAATATTTAATTCTGAAAAGATTGCAAAGTATGAAAATACTTCATTTTTTTTTACAAATGAAGAAGGCAATGGCAGTAGAAGATTTCATGAAACCCAGCAGTAAATGAATACTTTTCTTGCGCAATTCATGCTTGGACTTGCAGAGTTCTTGAGACTCATTGGAACTAATAACAATTCATAGGTAGGTATGTAGTCTGCAAATCGCTTATTGCTTGAAAAAAGTACTTATAAGTTGTACTTTTTTGTCATAAAGTTGTATAGTTGTCTTAATGTTCAGGTAATAAAGGAACAAACGTACCCTACCAGTGATTGAATAAAAACGATTAAATAGAAAGAATGGAATGTAGGTATACATTCATGAAAACTTTAAAAACGTGCTTGCAAGTTCAAATTCAATTAGAAAAATCAGTAGCTTTAAGTTGAAAATGAGTCATGCTCCTGATTCTAAGAGATTTCTTAACCTAGGACTTCCATTCATCAGTAGGGAAGTTTCAGTTGGTAGTTACAATTTTCAGTCTAAAAGAAAATACAATAACATGCTTAAAAATAATCACATTTTTTTACAATTTATACACTTTTTTTAACAATTAATGGATTGGCAAAATTTAAGGATTAGACAGGCCATTCTATTCTTATTTTTGATAATTACTTTTTATTATTGCGAGTAGGTAAAATTGTGCGCTGAAAGATTTTCACTACAGACTTTGTCAGTATTTTTTTAACAAATATACTATTTTGACAAAATATCTTCCCAAGTACTCATTTTGCATCAGAATTAGCTCTGAAAATTTAGAACTTTTGACAAATACCCACAAGTTGAAATTTTCCATGTAAAAATAAACTCTGCAGGAGTATTTATCTATCTAAACCGTTTTTTTTTATATTATTTTATTGAGATAAGTAGGTACGGCAATATACTCAGTGAAATGGTACCTACATATGTGCGGTCAAGATTCACAAACAGCATTCAAGATCCTGAATCAACATTTAAATTTTTACAAAAGAATATTTACAAGAAATTTACAAAATGACTTAGAGAAGCATCAACTGGAAGTTTGGTATTATTTTCACCCATGTCGAAAGAAAAAAAAACCAACAATTCTCCTTTTAGACATTATATCGAGTGACAAGAATAAAATACTCTCATCACAATTAGAGCTGCCTTTAGGCCCTTATTGCTGAAGGCAATTTTTTTCCTTTTTCTTCCACTGCCTCGATGAAGCCTGGGGGCCAAAAAACGTCAATTAAGGCCGCGGCCAAAATAGTGTCGTTGGGGCAGTGTCTTCGTAATGTTTTGGCAACCATTCGCCTGGCGGGATCGTTTGTGACGATCCCCTACGGTACTTAAACCATTTATTTTGAAGTTGTCAATTTAGTAACTTAAGTAAAATTAGAACCTGATTTGTTGCCGTGCCCAAGTAGCTGGCCGCACGATACAACGAAAAAATTGGAATAAAGTGGCAATTGAATGAGATAAAATTGCAATTTTTCACTACCTACCTAATGACAACATTTTTACATCATTTGGTCCGCTTTCAAACGAGTAGTAGAAGGAGTTCCATGTATGGGAAAGATGAGCAATTTGCAATGCAGTAAAAAATCGCAACTTACACGGAAAAAATTAAATCGCTGATTTATCAATTCAATTGCTAAAAAATAGTGACTGCAACGTTTCAACGTAGATTTTACAACCAAAAAAAATGCCACTTTAACCACCATTGTAAGCTAATTTAACCACGGGGGTGGTTAAAGTAGCATTTTTTGTTGTAAAATCTACTTTGAAACATTGCATTCACTTTTGTTAGCAATTGAATTGTTAAATCAGCAATTTAATTTTCTCCGTGTATTTCAATTTTATCTTTATCGCGATGAAGATTACGAGGAGCCCCTTCTAAAAGTAGATACGCAAAACACACTACACTCCGATCCGGTATCAATACCTTCACCGGGTGATAGGTATGGCAATCCGTACTACCTGCTTGGAGGGTTAGGCGCGGCTCTGGTTTCCTGACAAGCCTCCCGGTAGGCAACTTTTCCCTCCTGTTCTCACAGCGTGAAAATAATGCTCCAAAATCGTTCAAAATTTACCGCCACTTTCGGCCTCCCGGTGAATGGAGCTCTTCAAAACTTGGGCATTCATGATGATTTAGGTCTTGGCCTGATGCTCATCTCCGACTGAACCACTGCTATCCACTCGTTCCTGCTCACGTCGAACCACGTGAGGCCCAAATTGTATTGACCGTTGAGATTGGCGTGCTGACAGTAGGAGAACCACCAACCTCCCTCATAATTTGCCGCACAATTCGTGTTGCTGATGTCGCGATCCGAGTCAATCGCGCTGAATTGCATTCGGTTCTGGTACTCCAAGGCGTCACTTGCGTTGCCAGAGTAGCCTGCCACGTTCAACCGATATCCATCCTCCTTGCTGCTCACGCTGAACTCGGAATATTCAGCCCTGTAGTTTTTCCCGTCGATATCGGTGAAATCCACCCTCAGCATCGAGTCGTTGTTTTTCGTCAGCTGGTGCAACACCTCGTTCCCAATCCAGAATTCGCCTGGGAAACAAAAGCACAATGCGATCGTTAATAATCTATCAAAAAAATGGGGAGAAAATGTGCATCCATTCTTCTTCCCAGTGGAATAGCGTGTCCTTCTAGTTTCTACGAAAAACACGCTCTTGCGACGTGTGTTCGTCGTTTAAAATTCCGCACGCTGTCAGCAGGACCGGATTTACCTACTTGCCGCCCCCTTCTCATTCGGTTTGAAACATCAGTAAAAACATAAAGTGAACGTACCGGAGGGGTTGCATAAGACGCGTTTACTCGTATTGGACACATGTTTTGCGAAAGCCCTGCGTCGACACTACTAGCAAAAGTTCACGGAGCTTTGCGCGAAATTTAAGTTCCGTAATCCTATCTTAGTGTAGACAAGGCCATCTATTTATAAAAAATTATGAAAGATTGAACAAACCGAAATGTGGTTTAATAATTTTAACTTCCGCCGCCGCGCCGCGCTGACCGCACTGTTTGGCGCAATGCGTGAAGTATTCACGCAGTCTTGTAGGCGCTATGGGTTCGAGCCGAATGATGCTGAACGCACTGTGTTTGACGACGCAATGCGTGAAGTATTCATGCAGTCTTGTAGGCGCTGATATGTGTTGCATGCCGATCGCCGCGCCGAGGGCTTTTCCTTTTCATCTCAAGTCCTCGACATCATTGCTCTCTGCGTCGCGCCGCTCCAGGCCAAGTTGCGTGTTTGGTCTCTCCCTTAACTCGACCAATTAAAGGTGCTCTCTCTTGTGTCACCGAATGACGACAAAATTAGAAGTTACTACACTCTCAGAAAATGAGAGATTTGGTCGCCTTTTCTCGTTTGAAATTTTTTTCCTCAATCCAATTTTTTTATACCTACATTTAAGAAAATTGCAAAATTTGCCGTCCCCTGAATTTGCCGCCATGGGCAGCTGCCCATGTGGCCATCTCCTAAATCCGGCCCTGGCTGTCAAGATCCAATTCCGATTCAGTAATCGATTTCCGCATCGAATGCGATACTTCTCTCATAGCCAAATCCTGTTACTATTTAGCAAATTTGATACTTCATTTCATCACAAACAATAATTGAGGGGTTTGGAGGACAAGATGCATTAGTGAAGTTTTTGAAAAACAAATCGAGTCATTAATGATTTCAAGGAAAACTAGTCTTAATACAAATTCTGTGAAAAATTCTCTCCCAATTTCCAATTTTAAAGCATCAAAAAGCCAGTTCTAACTTCCTGTTTGCCCTTAAGGTCTATGAAATTTCGAAACTTCAAACATGTATTTCTCGGAATCGCAAAAACTGCACTTATGCGCCTTGTCCTCCAAGTCCCTCAATGGACCACTAGACACGTACAAATTTTAGCATTCTAATACATGTTTCTTAACCAAAATTTTACGTAGAAAACGATGCGTACAACGAAAATTACCGAAATCAACTCCTTCCAAAGATATTTAATGATTCTTGATGCGTGAATTCAAACCACCCGCTCATGAAAACTCAATGCTCTACGTGATTCACATCGTGCGCTAAACGTTATCATGACAGTCTCTGCGATATAAAGATCTGGCAACCTCAATCTTGACGCTTTGGCTCAGCTGTAGCAAATTGCTAATAGTTTGAACAACTCATGGTGGGAAATGAACATTACTCGATTGAGAAGCTTGTTGAAACCGTTGTAGTGCGCGATTTGACTTACGTAGAGCTTTGAGTTTCTTGTCAGCGGGCAGTTCAAATTCCTCGTAACCAATGTGAAATAAACATGTTAATATCTTCGTTTGGAGTTTGTTTAATTAGTTTTCGTTGCGCGAATCGTGTTTTACGTGAAATTCTTGTTAAGAAACATATACCAGAATGGTTGAATTCGTACCATGTCTAGTGGTCCATTCATGCGGAGGGCTTTTGAGATTTTTGCTTGAGAATCAAAATTCCAGAATACTTTGAACCTAACCGATGCATATCGGACGCCAGTTCGACTTTAGCCGGAGCCCGGGTCGAATCACCTTCATGGTCGTGGGAGATAAGAATCTGAGAGTCTTTTAAGCTTACCGGAAGGTGAACCGAAGCCTGCTGCATATTCAGCCCACTTCCTGTCGAAGTTTTCAGAGCCGTTGATTCTCCTCTGGATGACCGTCCAGCCCTCCTTGCACGACGCGAAGAGCAGAGAGTCAACCGCCGGCGAAATCACCGTCAAACCGGTGGATTCGTTCACACCGTTGCAATCTGAAACAAAAAATTACCAAATTACAGTTCATGTACAGTTCCGCTCTCAAAAATGCATAAAAACACCAAATGACTGCACTGAAAAAAATAACATGCTATTTTAGCACCTAGATTGTCAAAAATGTGTCTGGTAATCCCAAGATACTGCCTTTACTGCCCCCGCGGTTAACTTTACATCCTGTGAATGCGAATTCAACTGCGTGAGCAATCAAGGCAGCATCTTAAAATCACCAGACACATTTTTGACATCCTGGGTGCTAAAATAGCATACAATTTTTTTCAGTGTGGGCTTAAAGGCCTGGATGCACCCTCAAATTTCCATCAATTTCCGATCAAATGGTGACTGGTGCGCACCATCTACCATCAACTTTTTGCGGCCTGCAAAAATTTGATGGTAGATGATGGAACTGTGGGTCTCATCCGTGTCTGATTTCCACACAACCACTATTTCATGCTCATTTCAATCAACACGCTGTTTTAATTAATTTTACCCATCGATCTGGATAACTCTCGACCGCCATTTCGGTCATCATTTTGATCGGAAATTGACGGTTTGAGCGTGTGTATCCAGACTTAAATACATTTTAATGCCAAATTTGGCTGGCTGAGCTACATAGAACATGGTGATTGATTAACAAAGAAAATCAAGCCACAAGCCAAAGATAAATTAAACAAGTAATATTTCAAACTAAGTACATAGAGAATGGAAATAATAAAAAAAACTTACAAGAACTCAAGAAGAATACTTTATTTCTTGTAAGTTTTTTATTATTTCTATTCTCAATGTAGTTTGATATATTACTTGTTTAATTTATTTTTGGCTTGTAGCTCGATTTTCTTTGTTGATTAATTACCATGACTGGGCTGATTGTCTTTACGGTAAGTCATCATTCGAAAAATCAAAATACGGCAGGAAATTTGCAACGTCGAAAAGTGAGTTGCGTGGTTTTGAAGTTTGCCGCAGAAACGCTCAGATATTGGGGATAGTGTTTCGTTTCAACAGAGAGAGCTCGATCTTTAGCGTAGCACGAGGTCGGAATCGAGCCCAGATGTCTCATTTCGCCTTCAATTTTGATGATACTTCAAGCACATCCTTAAATCACGAATAGTGGTATCTAAGAGCCGTGTGTTCGAAAGCCTTCTGTTGTAATCTCTTGATTTATATCACACCTTAACGGTATTTTTTTCGCAAGTGTTTATGTTGGATAGTGTCGTGAAATTGAGGAATACTAAGATGAAGTTTGCCCAGATACCTAGTTATGTTTCGTTTTGATACAAAAAAGTCGTCATCAGGCGCAGCACGAGGTCAAAGTCAAGCCCAGATATCTCATTTCGCCTTAAATTTTGATGATACTTCAAGCACACCCCTAAAGCACACGAATAGTGGTATCAGAGAGCCGTGTGAGTTCGAGAGCCTTGCTCTGTTGCAATTTCTTGATTTCTCACATCTAAACGGTAGTTTCTACGCAAGCGTCTTGGTTTGATAGTGTCGTGAAAGTGAGAAAAGCTAAGATGAAGTTTTCACAGCTATCGGGAATGGTCGTTTAAAACGTTTCGTTAAAACATGGTCGTTTTCATCCGAAAAAAGTCGTCATTGCGCAACACAAAGTCTGAGTGGAGGTCAGATGTCTCATTTCGCCTTCAATTTTGATGATACCTCAAGCATATCCATAAAAACGTAGTGGTGTGATTGATGAGAAATGTATTGCGCGAAAGATCTTAATGATGACCTATAAATATTGGGGTGAGAAAATTGCTGGGCAAGTTTCTACGAATTAGTTAGGTGCTTACCTAACTAATGCAAGATCAGAATTCCCATCAAAATTTGATCACAATGAGAAGAAGTGTGCGAAAGTCATAGGTCCTAAAATCTTCATTGTGCACCGTATTCAAATAAAAAATTGTGCAGAAATGTCCCTTGCGATAAAACAAAATTATAAATAGTGCGGCACCACTTTTCCATGGCCAATTGCTAGGCCGCCAAATTATCAACAAAAAAAACAAAAAATGTTTTGTGATGACCAAAAGTCATCAGTTGGTCTATTTTGATCGAAATTAGTTCGGGATAAGGTTGTTCATGGAAGCCTTAGGATTCCTAAACGAGTTGCTCGACTCGAACGTCTGTCATCATTAGGTGAATCTGAGCGTTGCATTCCAAAAATAATTTGCAAAATAATTACACTGAAGGCAGAGTGTCGGAGCAGGGTTTCTAGAATGAAAATGTCTCTGCTTCCAGAGAAATCGTGCAACCTGGCATTTGTTTTTGAATCGGAAAGTAAATAAAACGAATTGAACGTATTTCTGTCAAACGGAACTATGTGCATTATGACTTGAGCCCTCTTATGCATGTATTCTTATGGGTCTCAGGGCTCATGTCTTAACCCTTACCTGCACACATTATGGGTTTTGAACTTTTTTTTGAAATTTCGAGTTTTCTAAGGCCTCTTGGGTCTAGATAACTCAAAATTAGTGAAAAAAAATTTTTTTGACTTTTTTTTACCCGGAAATTTTGACAAAAAAGGGTGGTCAGTATGACTGACCACTGAACAGGATAGGAATACGCAAATTTCCTATTCACCTATGTGGATATAATTTTCGTGTTTTTTTTATTTTTGTGTAAAAAATGATCCTTGTCTCTACCTATCCGCGCAAGACATTCAATTTCTGCCCTCCAAGCCCCCAACCCTTCCCTCGCAGACCTCCCCTTACCTTCCATACTAACTTTACCAGTGAATTATAAATGTTGACTCCGTAGATTTTGTAAGTTTTTCACTTTTTCTTACATGTTTGTAAGTGATAGAGTCTCTGTTTTTGGAAATTGAGTGAAGCTAGTCTTAGAAAAATGTATAATTTATTATGAAAGAGTATAAATAAAGCAGAAATATATAAAACTGCTTGAAGTGAAGAACATATGAGCGTAACTGGAATAAGTAAGGAGGCAATCAAAGACTAGTCACAATAAAATAAATTCATTCCTTCAAAATGCAACGATAATGGTCCTTTCCCACATAAGACTAGCAATTTTAAAATAATAATTTTGGTCAATAATTAAAAGTAATGAACATAATCATAAAAATTACTGATAAAATAATAATAAAAAATAAAGCAACAAGAATCCAGTTCCAGCTCCTATAGCCACCTGCTCGGTGGTCAGTTATACTAACCACCATGTTCAAGCATGAATTAAATAATCAAAACTTCTGAATTTTTCAATTGCCAAATGACATTCTCGCAGCATTATAGTCTAACTTAATATTTTACTACTAAATCAGAACCATTTGCGTCGCACAAGCAACTGACAACCGCAAAACTGGAGATAACACCGTCGGTACCAAACCTCCAACGAATCGGAGGTAAACAATAGATGATAAAACAATATTGCCAACATAACATCGCCTGGCAATATTTTTTTTCATATTCTGGACCATATACCAAGTATAACTACATGGTTGGTAAGGGTATGTCGCGCCAAAACGGCCATGAATAATTATTTAAAAAGGTGGTCAGTATAACTGACCACTGAGCAGGTAAGGGTTAATGCACATAGTTCCGTTTGATAGAAATACGTCCAATTGTAACTTCGAGGTCTCGTAAAGGCTCGGATGAGACAATCATTGCTGAATCAAAGACAGACGTTGTGTTCTTATTAAATTATATCCCCGTCCCTAAACAGTTGGCACGTTCAAACGCGCAGCACTAAACTCAATGCTTCAAGGAGGAAAACGGAAAAAGGATATATTCATGTTCCTTTTTTAGTTTTGCTGTCCTCCAAGCCGCGCCATTAAATGAAGTCATTTTTGACGAACAGAAAAGTTTTTGCGACTAAGAACTTCTTGGTGGTGACCTCTGAGTCAATATTTACAATTTTCAGACATTAATTTTTTGAGCTGCATCAAGTAGTACTTAGGAGAAGGTTTTATTAATCTCATTCAGCACTCGTTTTATTCACTCATTTTATAAGTTCATTGCTAGATTATATGAATAAAAGCTATCCTTGGCATAAAATTGCATCCCGAAGTGGCTGAAATTCGAAGGTCTCTTTGGCACATGATGAAATATTATCACGACAAATCACAGCACGAAAAAAAGTTATACAGTCTCATAGGAACACAAGGCCGGATTTACCTATTTGCCGCCCACGGGCCGCCCGTATTGTGCCGCCCCCTTCTCAGTCATTTTGAGACATCAATAAAAAACCATCAAGTGAACATGCCGGAGGGAAAGGGGTGCATAAGACGCGTTTACTCGTGTTGGACACATTTTTTGCGTTTTTGAACTTTGCGCAAAAATTAAGTTCCGTAAACCTATCTCTGAGTGAACAATGCCTTGCATTTATAAGACATGCACGAAAACATTGTGAAAGAACAAACATTAATGGGGGTTAATAATTTCAACTTCCGCTTCCGCGTCGCGCTGACTGCACTGTGTTTGGCGCAATGCGTGAAGTATTCATGCAGTTTTGTAGGCGCTACTAGGTATGTGTTACATGCCGACCGCCGCGCCGAGGGCTTCTTTTATCTCAAATCCTCGTCAACATTGCTCTCTGCGTCGCGCCGCGCTGTCTCTTGTATCACCGAAAGACGACAAAATAGAAATTACTACACTCTCAGGAAATAAGAGATTTTGTTGCCTTATCTAGTTTGTAGTTTTCTTTCTGAATCCGATTTTTTTTACCTACATTTAAAAAAATTGCAAATTTTGCTATTTTGCTAAATTTGCCGCCATGCGCCTTATGCCCCCCCCTCCCCCCTAAATACGGCCCTGCAGGAACACGGAAGGAATGAGTATTCATAATCAAATAAGATTTATTTTTGACGGGAGACAATTATCGCCTTCAGAACTGTGCGTGTGCGACCCCACGACTTCCATGCTTGAATAGTTATCGTTTGAACTATTTTGCTTTTGAACCCTCAACATCCAGTTGTATTGCGTATGATACGATGCGACGCATCATGTGTCACGGAAGATACCGCAAAAGGTCGGCCTAGTGGAGGATTCTC